TTATAGAAATAATAATAATAATAATAATAATAATAATAATATATTATTATATTATTAAACTAAAGTTTCATGAAAATATTATTATGACCTTTCATATAATAATAAAAAGAATTACGGAAGTATACTTGTAGCGTTTATGAAAATAGGCCTATCAGAATTAATTAATTAATTATACGTGTTAAAATTATTCGTTTTAAAAATGAAGGCTTTGTTTGGTAATAGCGTTTTCGATTAGCGTTAGCGTTTTGGATAAAATTTTAACGGTGCAGATTAATTCTAAAAACGCTAACGCTAAAGGCTACCGTCGGATAGCTTTTTCAAAACTCTAACGCTAATCTCTGACGTTGATGCCAAACAGAGCCGAAATTGGTTAGTACCGTGTGATAAAAAAGGAACTGTATTTATTATAGCTTTTAAACCATTTTTTTAGATTAATAATATCACGTTTTTAAAGTCATTGTGTGTAAAAAGTAATATTAATTTTAACTTCACAATAATTAACTTACCTTTCCGCCTTGTTAACTTACCTTTCTTTAATTATTATAAATATAATAATTATAATAATTTTTACTATAATTTCGGTCACTTACCATTTTAACTTCACAATTGCCATTTGTAATTGTCATACTTTTTGGGCGGGAAAACTATATATTGACTCCATGTCTTTTTAAATAAAGTATGGATATTGATTATATTCCAAAATATATTTTAAAAGTTTACATTTACATTTTGATGATTTTGCATTCACATTTTCTTGTTAATTCACATTTTCTTGCATTCAGATTTATTCATCAAAAAAATATTTAGAGTATTTGAAAGTAGAAAATTCTTAAAATATATTCTGTACTTAGTTATACTCCAAGTTATACACTATTCTACCATACTTCTCAACACACTTTTTTTTATCCATGTTCTAATTTTTTGGGTTATGAATAAAATTGTATGGTGAGGGGAGGATAATGTATATCTTAGGATACAACTTTGGGTACCTGAAATATTATTAATCTGAAAATTCTAAATTTCAGAAAATAAAATTCTAATTATATGCCAGACACAAATTTGTCTAGAATAATGCATTTTAAGTTTTGGGTAATAAACTACAAGGAGTGTAACACCCCAAAATATACCCTAAAACTTATTGAATTGAATATTCAATTAATCAAATTTGTTTTGATTAAAATAAATTATTGTTGGCCTTTGGGCCGAAATAAAATGTGTTTTGATATCCAATATCATAATCAGGATAAATCTCATAGAGGTAAATCCAACGTGTTGACTTATTGTGTGATCTTATTTGGGAACCTGGGTACAGACCAAAATTAAGAGTAATAGAGAATTTGTTTATTAAATGAACTTTGAAATAAATTCTTGAAATAAACCATGAGAATAAATTTAATGTGAGAACCTTTTATGATAAAAGTCAATTAAACCAATTTTGACTCTGTCAAAGTCAAACATCCAAAAATATGATGTTGGAAAAAGTATTACAAGTAAATATAAAAAGTACTCCCTCCGTTTTTAAAAACACTTCCTCTTTCATTTTTTTTCACTTCCAACAAAACACTTCCACTTTCTATTAAAAAAACCACTTTTACCCTTACTTTTTCATATCCTACCTATCACATCATACTTTGTCTCTAATAATCTATCCATCACATCTTACTTTTACCCATCACATCAGGGGCAAAATTGGAAGTCAACTATAAATTAACACTTCCTTATTTTTGCTCCAAGTAAAAATAGGAAGTCTTTTTGCAAACGGAGGGAGTATATCATTAAATAGAGTTTGACTGTCTGATCACAACGGTGCACACGAAATTCAATTCGGAGAAAGTTGGACCAAAAAGTGTACCCCGACTGGGACTAAAATTAGTCCCAATCAGGGACGGCGCCTCCTACTCCACTCAGCCAATCGAAGATACGTTCCTACGCAAATCCTACGCAGCATTGTTTGGTTTCTTCCTCCATTCCTTCCCTATATAAGACCACCTTCACTCCCTCAATTCTCCATCATTTCTCACAATTCTCATATCAATTCTGTTGCTGGGAGTGAGGAGAACGCAGTGGTGCTATCATATTGGTGAAAGGTCGTTGGAGTTGGGAGTAATTGTCGCCGGAAGTTTCGCCGGAAAATATTCAAAACCTTCATTTACCTTCGAGGTAAGCCCGTAGATATATCTAGTGACTAGAATGTTCATATAGATCGTTTCTACGTTCATAAACGGTCGTTTGGTTGAGTTTTGTGTTTGACATGCTTGAAGAACCAGGAATCATAAACCATGAAATTGATGTTAAAACTATGAATTAATGATGCCAAAATGATCTATGAACCTTGGAGAACATCTCTATATAGTTTCGTTGAAGTTCGATAACTAAAAACGGTATTTGCGAAATTAGACCCGAACGAAGAAGAAGATGAACAGTGGCTGAAACACCACTGTCTGGATCGAGCCCTTGGGAGTGATTTTTCATTTAACAAATAAAAATGTTATGTGATGCATGACGGTAAGTTCGGGTGTTAACACTTGAAACTAGACCGCTAATTGTTATTGCTTTAAATGTTATGTTGATTGATGATTATGATTAATGAACCTACTGATTAAAAATGAATATGTTGATGATTATGGTAATGATTATTGGTTGGTGATTATGATGATTAAATCTTGATAAATGTTTTGATTAAAAATGGTAATTATGAATGATTAAATCATAATGAATATATTGATGATTGTGAAAATAATATGTATTGTCAAGGGTATCTAGAAGACCTCTAAGATATACCCATATTAATGTTGATTTGAAAGGTATCTAGAAGAACTCTAAGATATACCTATATAAGTTAGGCCTTGCGGGTATGATNGTTTTTGGTTGGCCTTAAGTGAAGGTAAGTTTAAGATTTCCAAAACCCTTTTATCTTAAACTAGGCCTAGCTTAAGGATTAATAAGAGTACTCTGTATACTGGAATATAGTTTAATTAGTTAAACTAGAATTCATTTAAGGGTTACAAATATTAAAATGATTGGCCTTAGACTAAGAATAGTTTAAGAATATTGTTGAATGACAAATGAAGAACATACATGTTGAACGATTGAATAATGAATGTTGAAAATTGAATATTGATTATTGAATATCTGAACTGAACATTATGTGCATGATATCAAATGATTTGATTGTGAATTAAGATACAATTTATATGGATGTTCGACGCATTAGATATGCTTACTCAGCTTTACCGCTGAGCATGTAGTATGTTTTATTTCCTACACGCAGGTTAATAGAAAGAATGATGTGACGTGATCCTGGAGGCGGACGGAGGTGAGACTGTCGGAATGGATGTGATGTTTTGAATTAAAGAACATAAATAAATTATGTTTGTAATTATGATTTGTTAAGCTTCCGCAATATTGAAAACTCCGTACTGTTTGTGATATGAAAATATTATTATGATAGATAAAAGTGTTTGAAATGTTTTAAATTTTACGATTACCAAGTTAATACTTTAGTCCGAAAGGGGCTGCAGACCTGGACGGATTAGGGTGTTACAAGGAGTAATTACTAAGGGCCTATTTGAGAATAACGTTAGAGATTAGCGTTAGTGTTTTGAATAAAATTTCAGTGGTGCAGAGTACTTTGAAAACGCTAACGCTAAATGTTGCCTGTTCATAATTTTTTCAAAATGTCAACGCTAATCTTTAAGGTTATTCTCAAACAAGTCGTAAGACCCGTTAAAACATGAAATGTTTACGTAATATTTGATAGCATATGCTTTTATCTTTTGAATATAATCATTGACAAGACATTGTAAATTATTGAATTTATTTTACTCTGTTTTTGGCATCATGTATAACATTATTTAAGAGTATATGGAGTAAGTCTTATTTTGGTACCTTAAACATTGTTGTCTTATTTTTGTATATAAAACATGTTTTACTTCTAGTTACATATTTATTCCATAATGAGTATTCTCTCATCGCAAAAAGGTCTATATATTGTTTTACACCCATCAATGCGAGACATTTACTATTAATAACTATAAAAATACTCCTTCTCTCTCAAAAAAATTACACTTCAATTCACTATTAAAAAGTACGAAATTTTTTATTTATTTGTGTGTTTTGAATGATATTTGATAAAATAAAATATTCTTGTCACCTTTTGTTTTGTAGAACTTTTGATGTACTTTTTAAATACGTAAATTTTATTTTAAATTTCTCTGCTAACCTTTAAATAAAATGAATTAGAAAAATTTGATAATATACATACATACACACACACACACACACACACACACACACACATACTTTGTAACAAAATATAAATGCAATACTTGTTTTCTCAATTTTATATATGTAAAACTTAAAGATAAGAAGACTAAAATAAAAGGACTAAAATAAAAGGAAAGACTAAATATTTAATACATTAAATTATTACACTTTCATGTCATTCATTAAATTTTAAAAATTAATAATATAGAAATTTTTAATGGGATGAAATAAGATGGTTAAACGAGAGTTGATAAAAATGTGAGTTGTTATAAATAAACCAATTTTCAAAGGAACAAGTATTGTATTTTTCACATCTATTTTTTGTATTGTATATTGTCTATTTATATTATTTATTATTATTTTCTAATTTCATATATTATATTTTTTTAAATTTTTAAATATTTTAATTTTAAATTTTGCAATATATAATTATAGAAAAAAAATAAGGAAATTATAGCCTAGTCCAAAAAATTACTTTCATATTTTAGCATTTCAAACGGAACAATTAAATAAAGAATGCATTTGCCAAACAAAAATTTTAGAAACTGTTTTACGGGTCAAAATAGACAAAATCAATATTAAAAACCATTCAAAAATCAGAGCCAAACGCATTCTAATATGTGAAATTTGCACTGAATAGGACTAAGACATAAGTCATTTTTCAATGTAGGACTTAAATTTTTTTATTTCTTAAATAGGACTTAATAATGACTACTGAGAAGAATGATCAGAATCAATACCCAATGCATTTATATTACGTTAATTGATCAATTAATTAACAGGGACCGGAGAGTACATATGGTAGCGGACGATAACATGATGCGGACTACCCCTATAGTGGTAGTAGACAACAGCTTGAGAGTGGATTTCATCGCAAAATCTGTAGTTAAGGTTGCCGCCGCCGCATCCCAAAATAAACCGCACATCCTCCGCCTCTCAAATCTCGACCTCCTCGCCGGCCGCTTCCCCGTCACCTACTTTTACTTCTTCCGAAACCCCAACCACCACCCGCACCAAGAGGCCGCGTCAACGGGTCTTTCGTCTTCAGTTATTGATCACTTCAAATTTTCCCTGTCCCCATGCCTCTCTCTTTTCTACCCCTTCGCCGGCCGCATAGTGGCCAACCCCGCCACTGCCGAGCCCGAGATCTCCTGTGACAATCACGGCGTTCTTGTCGTGGAAGCACGGGCGAATATCCCCCTCAAAGAACTGCAATTCTACGACCTCAACCAGTGTCTCGAAGGCGGGCTGATGCTCGTCCCCGCCCACCAATCGGCCACCGACGACGATTTCGCCGTCCAAGTTCAAATCACGGGTTACGCCCGTGGGGGTCTATCGCTCACGGTCTCGTTTGACCACGCCTTGGGAGACGCCTCCTCCTTCGGCAAGTTCCTCCTCACTTGGTCAGAACTCGCTAGGGAGATGCCTCCCTCTTGCTCCCCGACCCTGACCACCGTCGTTTTCTCCCCCGCCCACGGTCTCCTCCATGGTAGTACTCCATTATCACTCTCTAGTGTCTACCATGGCCTTGTTTGGATAGAACATTCCATCGTCAGATGAATTCTTCTTCTTCTTCGTCTTCCTTTTATTTACATTTTTTTTCATTAAATCGTGTTTTGTTATAAGTTCTTGTTTGACCCAACTAAAAATGATCAAATTAAAGTACTCCCTCCGTTCCACAAAAGACTTCCTCTTTCGTTTTTTTTGTTTTCCACAAAACACTTCCATTCCACACTTTTTCCCCAAAATATCCCCCAGCCCTAAAAGACTACACATCCCACCCATACCCAGCCCTTCACTGACACACGTCGTCTCTCTCTATTCCCTAAACCCTATCCTCACCTACGCCATCTCTGCCGATCAAATTTTCCATGGCCTCTCCCCTCCTTCTCCAGATCTCTCAGATCTGGACTGGGATATGCCTTCCTTTCGCCTTCTAAGTGAAAGCGATGAAGAGGTGCGACCTCCTAAGCGCAAGAGGAAGGTATGTTTTCCAAGCTACAACCCTGATGCATCTGATTCTTCTGACACCGATCCGTCCTGGAACTACCGGAAGAAATACCTTGGGGGTGACCATCTTCCGGACGGAGTTGAGTGGAATTCAGATCTGGAAGAAGGGGAATCAGGGGATTCAGAGGTTGATTCATTCACCACAGAAGAGATTGGAGGAATGACCTCCGATACGGAGATTTTCTTTGCCAAACCCGTTGGAAGTCCAATGAAGCTCATGCGATTTGAACAGAGTAAAGTGCTTCAATCCGCTGTTGTTTATGAATTTTGTATTGCCTCCATTTCTGTAAACCCTTCATGTTTTGATTTTGGGGAAAAATTACGAAGGGTTTAAGCCTCTGTTGTTTATGCAGTGATGCCTTCTTAAACTAAAATTCCTTGCTTCTTTACTTCATTGCATATTTTTTGGGCAAACTAATGATGCAAACCTTAGTCTTTCTGAATTATGGGAGAATTGCTTCACTATAATGCCACCCCTATAGGTTTGGAGGCTTACTATGCTCAATTAGGAATATGTCTTTGTCTCTAAATCAGATTGTTGAGTGCCTAAGTGGGATAGAAATTTTTTCTACCTATTCTGTGTTTCTGTTGCACATTGAAAGCACACTTCTCTTACTTGAATGTGAATCTGTGAGAAGTCCATATGTATGATTTCCCTCTTACAAGTCCCTATAAATGCTTGGCCTCTTCTATGAGGGAAAACAACCATGTTATTAGCCCTTAAGCATGACTCGTCCTTTATATGCCTATGATGGAAGTTCAAAGTTAATTTCTGAGGCAACCCAACCATGATATGAGTCCCTAGACATGACTGGTCCTTTATATGCCTATGATGGAACTTCAAACTGAATTTCTGAGGCAACCCAACCATGGTATGAGTCCCTAGACATGACTGATCCTTTATATGCCTATGATGGAACTTCAAAGTTAATTTCTAAGGCAACCCAACCATGGTATGAGTCCCTAGACATGACTGGTCCTTTATATTCCTATGATGGAACTTCAAACTGAATTTCTGAGGCAACCCAACCATGGTATGAGTCCCTAGACATGACTGGTCCTTTATATGCCTATGATGGAAGTTCAAACTTAATTTCTGAGGCAACCCAACCATGGTATGAGTCCCTAGACATGACTGGTCCTTTATATGCATATGATGGAAGTTCAAACTTAATTTTTGTGACAAAACAACCATGTAAATAGTCCCTAAGCTAGACTGACCTATTATATGCCTATGATGGAATTACAAAGTTGAGTTCTGAGGCATTTTATCTGCCTATGATTGATATTCAGTCCCTGCTTAATATTTTACATTGAGGATCTGGTACTACATCATTACACAAGCCTGCACACTATGACTAAACACTACCAAAAAGCAAAAAAAGTGTGCTGTTGTGTGTACAAGTACAAACCAGAAAAAGACTTACACAAAAGTACTGTCCTTTGGCCCTTAAGTGTTGCTTTCTGAGAACTGGACAACTTCTTCATAGACTTGAGCATCCACATGTATGTTCTCAGGGAGCAATCCTTCCCTGGCCAACCTTTCTTTGCCCATATGTGGTATTTTATAGTCATTTCCCCCTTTCTGCTTAAGGACATCACTCATTACCTCCTGATAGGTTAGGAAAACATTATTTAATGTTTGGGCTATGAGTTGGTCATAAGACATGGTCACATTGGTGATCAACTCCCTCATTGACCTTGGTGCAGTCTTGTCTGACAAAGCATCTATTGACCTAAAGAAACCAAGGTCAAGGACATTCAAGTCTGGACTGTTTGGGGGCTGAAACTGTAGTTGAATGTCCCAATCACCTTCCTTTGAAGCACTCACAAATTCAAGATCATTAATATCTATATGTGGTTTAGCATTATCCTGTTGTATGATAACTTGCTTGCTTGTCCCTGGCCACTTGGCCCTTATTGCTGGCAGCAACTGCTGAATCATCATGGATCTCATTACATCCCTTGCTATTTTTGGTACTGCTTTGATTTCCATGGTACCAGCTGGCCTGTTTTTGCTAGCCCTTTTTGCTGCCTCTTCAAAAGTGAATGGAAAAATCCCAATTTTTCCATCCCATATAACTTCACCATCCACCTCAAACCTTGGCCTACCCACAGCTGCTAGAAATATTATTTTGGGAATGTGTGTTTTAGACTGAGTGATTCTGTATGGGTCATCTTCACCAGGCAGTGTGTAGAATGTTGCTTTGGGCTTGCTCAAATTAAACCACTTTTCATCAATGTGAATGTAATCATAACAGTGATGAAATGTGGGGTTTGGTAGTGATGTGGGAGATATAAAAGACAAACAATACTTGAGTCTTTTCAACTTACCTTTTTCACACAGAAATGGCTTTATGGCATTAGAATGTCTTTTTATCTTTTTCTCCTTCAGCCACCTGTGTGCTGTTGTAGTAGACACATTCAAGCAATGACTTACTGCACGTAGGGTCTGGCGTTGGTGAAAAGGAATCTGGCTAAGCTTGGAAAAGTCCTTAGTCCGAGATTTTTTCCCTGAGTTTCCTTGCCACCTACATTCAACATCAATAGAAAGGCCTGTATCCAATTGAGCTTTAGCAATTCTCCATAGGTCTCTAACCGAACGATCTGAAATATTGAAGTCATTAGCTACTGACTTAATACATCCGTGCTGAAGTTTGCCGTCCTTGCATTTTTGTAGTATCACATCGATAACTTTCTTCCTTCTTTCATTTCTTGCTTGTACACTAGAAATGCAGTTTCTATTTTGTGTTTCAGAACTGTTAAAAGCTGCTGCAAAGGGTACCTCAACCAGTGGGGGCAGGACAACATCTTCAAAATCAGTTTGTGTGTGTGTGGAAAAGGAGGAGGCAGCCATAAATTTCAAAGGAAGAAAGTGAACTTAATGCTAACTCATAATGGAGGAAGAGTGAGAAGGTTTAATGCAGGGAAGATGGAGTTGTTGCTGTATTTATTGAACTAAATTTAGAAGTTCTTTGGAGGGAATTTTAAAAATTTACCAAAAAAACAAGTCTGTAATTCCCCCCCCCCCCACAACTTGGCCAGCCGTTCAGTTGGATGTATGGGAGCATTAAATGCTTTAACTATTCATTACATAAATGATGAGTGCCTTTTGTACTTTAATCAATTTTTTTTGCTTTGGGTTTGGGTTCCCACGTGCAACCCTAGGGGTATTATTGGAAAATCTTCTCCAAATTAATTAACCCTTCCTTATTTTGGCCAAAAGTCAAAACCGGAGGTGTTTAACGGAAGGGAGGGAGTATAATTATTCAAATGGGTGCATGCAGTCACAACACATGTTTGGATGAAAAGTTTGTGTCTTGCACGGTGGAGGAGATGCCAACGACAGCACATTCAAGAAGGATGTTAAAGCGCCTGTATCACATCGACTCTTCAAGCATCAACAAATTGTAGATTTTATCGGGCGGCAGCCGGACCAAAATTGTGGCGTTCTCAGCATACCTGTGGAAGGTCATGGATGGCCATACTAGGCGGCGGCGGCGGGCGTGACCACAACATACAAGACCAGCTGCAAGATGGGATGGGCGAAGGAGAATGGACGACCTGCTGTCGGAGGACTACATCGGAAATGTCCTGTCCCCCACGTTCAGAGAATTGACCGTGGAGGAGCTCAAGGGAGGAGACATGCATGTCCCAAATAGCCACCCACGCTCACACTACCATTTCAGTCGCAACCAAGGCCGACCATTTCTTTGATTTGATCGACTGGATCGAGCTCCACATGGGGCCAGGGCGGCTCATGTTTTCCAAGCTCGTGTTGGGCGGCGGCCTAGCTAACGCCGACGACGGCCCTGTTCTGATGGTCTCCTCCAACCGGAGGTTCCTGGTCGCCCAACTGGACTTCGGATTCGGGGGTCCGATTCTTGCAACGGTTTGCACCACGGCGGAGAAGATTGGGGTTGGGTACGTCAGTCAACGAGAGAGTGCGTTGGGCGACGGGTCTTGGACGTACGGTGTCGGTGGTGCTATGGCCGGAGACGGTTGCTGTTAGTTCCATGGTGTTGGCTAATCTTTTGGCAAAATAGAATCCCATATTTGTTAGGTGTTTTACTAGGTAAAAACCTCTGTTTGTTAGGAGAGGTTTATTTTATTTAGACTTCTAGAGTTGATGCTGTTTTCGAGGTTGACACAGAAGATGCTACAGCACGGTGCTGCAACACACTGTTCGGGATTAGAGGTCTGAGCACGGGATTTTAAGCTGCAATCTGAATTAGAGACCTATTGGGATTGTGATTACATGATAATAACTCCAGCTGTACATGCTAAGGAATCTCAACTCTTTAGGCTACTTGTGGATCAAGATTAAGGAAGTGGAGTTCAAGCCAACTTCTACTATCCTATTCCTACTAGGATTGTGTTAAGAGAAGCCGATAAAAACGCAGCAGGTCCCTGGGAATTACTTGGAGCGATTGAGAGGGAAAACAAAGAATATACGCTGATGTAGAGCATTCCTGTCGCGTCCCGGAGCTTCCCATGCGTGAAGAAGGTTGCGATCTACATGAAGGAGGAGATTTTCAACGCCAAACTGATCATGACATCCCGAAGATGAAATAGAGCTGAACGAGTGGGCTGTCAACACGTTTGTCCTCGTGATCTCGGTGGAGATGTGATAGCCGAAGCGGATCTGAACAGAGTTCGGGTTAGAAATCCTAGATTAGAAGTTTTGTCATAACAATTCGGAGAAGAGTGTCTCATCATGTTGTTATGTACCGGTGTAACTTGCATCCAGTGATTTAGTGGAAAGCTATTACCCGGACGTGGGCCCCGCAGATTAGGAGAGTTTCTCCGAACTGCGTAAACATATATGGTGTCATTTTTTATGCATTTTTATAGTTACATCATTATGTCCAGTAGGCGCTGTAACACCCTCTGCATCATCTACTTCTGTCTCTGTGTGCTTGTGACAGAGAAGTGTTATAGCACCCTGTCCGTCATCTGTTACTGTGACAGTAGTGCAGCATATTCTCTACAACATAGTTGATTGCTTTGTTTGCATAGTTCTTAATTGGTGATTTCTGCTGCGCCCCACGAACTTTCAATGGCTGCCCTCGAGTCCGGAACTTTCAATTGCTGCCCTCGAGTCCGATTCCGAGTGTATTTTTCGGCCTATGACTGCCGATATCATCCACTTGTAAGTGGCAAATCCTATAAAATGATTAATAAAAACTCTGGCTGGAAATGGAAATCAACCATACCATGTGAGATTAAGGATGCTTTTGTTGTAGCATTTGAAACTTGATTTGTATCACTGTTACTACACATACATCAAAATCATAGTACTCCCTTTAACCCGTTTCAATATCACTAGCTGACTTTCAATATTGTTATTTTTTAAACTTCCATAACATATTATAGATATAAATTTAATATTTACTTTGACACATAATTTATAAATATTACATTTTTATAAGAGATATTTATCCATAAACAAGAATATTGATAATCAAAATATTGCATTAAAAATAGTAAAAATCAATAAAATAGATTCAAAAGGGATGCAATGAGTACGTACATAATAATATTAATTAAATATGATTATCCATACATTTTTTTAATTTTAGATTAATTAAAAATTATAATGAATAATTACATACAAATGATTTTAATATAACAAGTTCTTAGGTAGATTTTACATCCATACTTATTTTAAGGATCATACTGTGTAAAACGACTAAATGTAGGTTTAAAAAGAGAGAGATCCAACTACAAATTTATGAAAATATAGAGGAGTTCCAAATTTTATATATGAACTTTAAGGATCACAACATAACTATTTTATTATATTTATTTTGTTAAAGTTTTAAATAATTTTATTTCATTATATTAAACTGCATTATAAATTGAGTGTAACTAAATACCAGAATTCATTGGCTTACAAAATGCTCTGAAAACTCTAGCATGTACAGGGTAAAATACTACTATCTCCCTTTTGATTATCCATTTCAATTTACGAAAATTGACTAACTTTATTTTATATATTCAATTTATTTAATTGTACTCATGAAATTCAAAAACAATTTTTTACCTTCGTCTCAGAGTATCTTTTCCATTATAACTATTGCAGTCAAAATTAATAAATATTGATCATTAATAAAATAATATTTATATGAGATATTGATTAAAGAAAAAGTAATTAAAAGTCCTATTTTGTACTCTGTAATATATATTCAAAATATTTTGTTATCTACTTTTTTTAAAAAAGCTTTTTATCTAATAAATAAAGCATGTACTTGAATGATTTTTATTTAGTGAAATTTGTATTAGTTAAGACTAAAACAAAAGTTATTTCTCAATATAGGACTTAAACTTTTTTATTCTTTAAATATGACTTAATAATGTCTAGTTGAAGGAATAATGTCCAGTAGTAACGATGGACATTTACTTGAATATTGACTAATTGATAATAACCAAATGTCCTACATTGAGAAATAAAAACATATGATCTTATATTGAAAAAGTCATTATATTTTAGTGCTATTTAGCTGAATTTTTCTTTTATTTACCCTCTTCCGGAATTTCTACAATCCACCGCGCATAGGATAAAACAGTCCTCCTCCTCCGTCTGACACTCATCTTTCTACCGTAGTCCACACCGTGCCACCAGACCACCTGGCACCCTGGCGGCGCCGCTCCGCCATCTATACTCTACGACGCCCCATCCCCCTCCGACCCACCCAGGTACTCCGTCGGCTACTTTTTTCATTAATTCAGAATTTAGATCGTAATTCCTCTGCCAGTGGTTGCCTGATGAGTTTGTTATTGACCGCTTCCTTCGGCCAGATGCCGCATTTTTTTACCTTTTGTTATGAATTTGAAATTTAAGCTGTGCGAATTGCTTCGGTGTATCCTTTTAATTTAGCAACATGAAGCACTGATGAATGATGGCTCATTTCCTAAATATTGAATTGGAATTTCTTTGTTATACTATGTGATTTTCTTTGTNTATCATCAATCTTATTATTTTGTTAATTGATAGAGTTTTTTTCAATCTGAAATCACTTTCCCATGGTTTTCTTGATTCTCCATTACTTCTAGGCTAAATTGCACCGTTGGTCTTTCAAGTTTTTGTGTCACGCACGGTTAGTCCTTCAACTTTATAAAGTACATGAATGATCCTTCAAGTCACGTTAGACTTGCGCAGTTGGTCCTTTTGTTAATTTTCATGTTAGTCTATGCATTTTATCTATTTTCATTATAAATATACGTAAGGAACCCTCTCTTCTTCGTACAATTGAACAATATGTAATATAAATCCATTTTTTTAATGATAAGAAGTTATTCACTTTTATTAGTCCATATTTTTTTTAATAATAATAAGTTATAAAGTTATTCTTGCTTTTATTAGTCCTTTTTTTGAAAAGATACTCACTCCGTTTTAAAGTGTTTATCAAGTTTTGACTTTTTGCATTCAAGCAGTGTTAATTTTGTAACTAACATTTTAATTAAAATGGATCCACATGAAATATGATTCAATTGTATGAAAAAGAGAGAGTTCCTCACGTGTATTTATAACGGAACATGGAAAAAATGCATGGACTAACGGAATGACAAATCGTGCAATGTGTATGTGACTTGAAGGACAATTCATGGATTTTATAAAGTTGAAAGACTAACCGTGCATGACTCAAAAACTTGAAGAACCAACGGTGCAATTTAGCCTTAGTTTTAGTTCTAGTTTTTATGCAATATCTATGTTCACGTTTTTTTGCATATTGAAACAATTCCCTTTCAGTTAGACAATGTAGAATCTTAAAAATGTATGTAATGTTAAGGATCTTACCACTATGGATGGTATATTTATTTTAGGAATCTGAAAATGTCCCCATAACGAAATTCATATTTGCTTAGTGAATAATTCTTTCAGGCCACAATCATTAAGACCTTACTCCGTTTGCTAATCATCAACTTGCAGCTTTTTCAAGAATGATATTGAAGCTGAAGCAATTCCAGCATTTCTGGCGCTCACGGAGCATGAAAAATTTGGACTTCTATAGAAATAAGTATCACTGCTTCGGCTATGGGGGTGCATTCCTGGTCAACAGATTATGCACACTAACAGGGATGAGTAAAGTTGACGAGCTGCCTGAGATGAATGAGTCTCCGGAGCTTCCTGGTTGGGTTAAATTTCCAGGTGAAATAAAACAGGATGTGTCTAATATGCCTGAAGATGATGATGATTTTGTAATACCTTCATTATGGGATTGGATTGAAAATGATAAGCTTCAGAGGCAAGAAATTGGCTCCGAGGGTCTGAAAAATGGTGCTGTTAGTGATGTTGATAAAATCTCTCAAACTTTGAAAAACCCGTTCCAGTCACCAGATGATGTCCTTCAAGCATTAGGTGTCTGCAATGTTGATCTGTCTGAAGGTTTGGTTGAGAGAATTCTCAAAAGATTCAGCTATGAGTGGATAAAATCATATGGATTCTTTAAATGGGTAAAACTGCAGTCCAACTTTAACCTCCCTCCTCATTTGTACAATGTAATGATTGACAACTTGGGGAAGACAAGGAACTTCGTTGCGATGTGGGAATTGGTGGAAGAAATGAGTCTCTTAGAAGGGTACATCACATTGGAAACCGCCACAATAGTCATCAGAAGGCTTGGAAAGGCTGGTTGCTATGAGGATGCAGTTGAGGCAATTCCTAGGTTGGAGCGATTCGGAGTCCATAAGGATACAAATCTGGTGAATATATTGATCAATGCATTGGTGAATGGTGGAAGCGTGGAGCGTGCTTATGATGTTTATTTACACGAGAAGCTTCATATATCTCCAAATCCGAGCACATTCAATATGTTAATCCATGGATGGTGCAAAATTAGGAAGATGGAGAAAGCCAAGAGGACCATTCAAGACATGGTGAGGCATGGTTTCTCTCCAGATTCCGTCACATACACTTGCCTTATTGAAGCCCACTGTCGCGAACGAGATTTCCCCAAAGTTTATGCCACCCTAGATGAAATGCAAAAGAAAGGGTGCCCTCCAACCGTAGTGACATATTCCATAGTAATGAAAGCCCTTGGGAGTGCAAAGGAACACCAGAAGGCTCTAGAGACGTATGAGAAAATGAAGGAAATCGGTTGTCTTGATGCCGATGCTTATGGGATTCTGATCAACATCCTCTATAGCTCCGGTAGACTCAATGGCTCTGCAAAGGTGTTTGAGGATATGACCAAACAGGGAATAACCCCTAACTTGCAGACTTTCAACGTAATGATCCGTCATGCTGCTAAGAGCTTGAAAGAAGAGGAAGCACTCAAATTACTCAAGAAAATGGAGGAGTGTCAATGCAAGCCTGACCTCAACACATATGCGCAGCTGCTGAAGATGTGTTGCAAGCTGAAAAGAATGAAAGTTTTGTCGTTTTTGATGAATCACATGCACAACAATGATGTCGCCATGGATCTCCAGACATATGTTCTTTTGATTGGTGGGCTTTGTAAGATTGGGAAACACGAGTATGCTTGTTCCCTTTTTGAGCAGTCAGTTCAGAAAGGATTTTTGCCAACAGACACCATGTACAGAAAACTTGTTCAAGAGCTCGAGAAGAAGGGCATCAGTGAAGAAAGTGAACGCATCAAACAGCTGATGATTGAAGCTGGAAAGCACATTCAGGTGAAACAAAGTGAACAATGAACAGAAAAACAGGTATGGCATTGTAATCCCAATCCAATTTCAATTTGAGCAGATTAGATTCTTTTGGGTGTGATACAAAATGGGGTTGGTTTTTTGTGTTGTTAATTATGATGCCCCTTTGTACATTGGCAGTGGTATCCAAATTAGGTGTCTTAAATTAGCTAAGTTTGTGCTTCCCTTATGTTCGACCGATGCTGGAAAAAAATTGTGAACATGAGTTTGAAATTACACTTTAATTAGACATTTAGGTTTGAGCTACAACTCCAATTGTCAAACATTGGTTTTTTGTTCCTAGTATCACACCAATGTCAAATTATTGAGCTTTGAGTTTGTTTATTTAACCATTTGTCTTCACCGTCTCCCTTGTTCATCTTTGACTAGAATTGTTTTTATTTATATTTACATATATAATTATAGAATTACTCGCTCTGAATCAATTTAAGTTGCATGTACATTATTCACTAGATCGAATTTTAAAGACTTTCATTATCCATTTTAGATATCTATTTGATAAAATAGTATAATTATATCACTTGTTGTCTTGTCTATATTGCAATAACAAGTCTATGCAATATAAAATGGTGAAAAATGTAGGATTCCCCCAACATGACTCATACTCCGTATGTATTAGGCCAAAAATGGTTGAGGTTATGATGATGCCTCTCAAATGTTTTGTTACGTAGCGTAGGAGAAGGAAATGAAGTTTCACATTAATTATTACTCTAGTTAATTAGTGCGCTTACAAACCATTTAATTACCGCGCATGCTTATACCATTTAGTACTATTTTAAGTGCACTCGCCACCCACCATTTTATTGGGTTCTTTTTAAAGATAGTCAACGTACAAAAATGATACTCCGTAAAAACTAGACAAAATAAAGTAGGTTTGTATAATTATATAAGTCATTTAATTTCAAAAAGGACAAATTCTTATTTATTTGTTGGTTCCACGCTCATTTATAGATCATAGTGTATAAACACCATAAGAGAGTTTTAATCTTTTGCAAAAATAAAAAACAATTGTCATTCCCATTTAAAATGTGACAAAATGCACATGCAGTATATAAACATCACGAAAGAATTAGCTTTTTGCCAAAAAAAGATCTAAATGTAATCTCGTGAAAATATGAGAAGGTCCACGTTGACTTTAAGACCACATACAAGTCTTTAAAGAGGGGGGAGGGGCATTTTTTTCTGTATGCTTTGTGGTAATTTATGTTAGGTATTTCGATTCCTAACTAAAATATAATGCTCCATAATATTCTGCTAACTCTGGTCGGTACATAATTTTACAATGTAAAAGTCGTAAGAGCGTGAATCATTCTTGAAGCATGGCTATGTTTTTTGATAGAATATAAAACATTTTCTTAAGAATATTTTTATTTGCTTTAAATATGGAAGTATCAAGATTTTAAATTATTTTCAGAAGATCAACCAAAGAAGTTGAATTTTAAAGAGAGTAAGATTAAAGAATCTTTCAATTATATAGGGAGTAATAAGATTTTGGTGTGGTTGTGAGTATAGATTATTCAAATCTTCTCCATATATTTCAGTGGAGAGTTTTGGCACCACTTAGAACTTACACATGCAGTATTTGTCAAACTCCAAATTCATTATGAATATGGCGGCCGGCCAGTGGTACATAATAGTGTGTGTCAAACCATGGATCATGTCCTATCCACTTTACTAATGGGATTTTTGGAAATGAATCCCACAACATAAAAGGATTCCTATTTTGAATTTGAGGAGAAATAGAAAATATATATTTATAATTAATTTTCTAATTACCTCCTGATGTGATGGATAAAATTAAGATGTGATTGATATATTATTAATGAAAAAGTATGATGTGCTAGATAAAATAAGAAAAAGTAGGAGTAAAAGTGGTTTTTAATAAAAACTGAAAGTGTTTTGGAAACAACAGAAGAAATGAAAAAGAAAGTATTTTAAGAAACGGATGGAGTACTTTATACTTTACTTTTTGAACATCTTACTTTTTGAACATCTCGAAAACTTTATATGTAGTTTTCTTATTTTCTTATTGGAAAAAGAAATACACTTTTTCATGTTCTGATTGTCCAAAAATGAACTTTTTATTTTTACCACGGAGTATTTCATTATAAAAAATAAATTAATAAGTGATCCGTTGCCCTCCTTCACGTCTAATTACTTCTATTACACCGTAACAAGCTATGTGTGTGTGTGTATGTGTGTGTCCCGGCGTACAATAGGAGCCTAGCCAACCGGACCTAACCCGGAAGTGACCAATGAGCACTAAAAGAGCTAGTGAGTTAGCGGGACTTGGCCATGAGGCGCACTCGTGAGAGGTTTGATAAGGCCGGGCATGGGCCACGGCTGCTAGGGTTTGAGACAAGGAGAGGATAGTTAGGAAGATACAACAACTAACTCGATCAATCGTATCCCATGATATCTGGTAGGATTGATTGAGTATCTCTAATATCTAAGTGGTTCTACTATTGTTCTTTGTGGATTAAAATAATGGTGAATGCTTTGGATCTGTTTTTATTAAAGAAACACTGCTTTATCTATGATTATTTTCAAACCACATCTCATCCTCAAGTTTTGTGTGAGTCCTGCTTCAACCGATGAAGATGTCGCTGCTCTAATCGATGAAGAAGACTAAAGATGACCGAAGCGATGTCGCTGTGGGTCACGACTCTCATCTTTTACCGGAGTTTGCAGTGAACATATTTTATCTCTTTATATTTATGTTATTTACTCAAAACTTTTAATTTCGTTTTTTGTCTTCACTATGCAATCCTTAATATTAGTATATAATACTTTTAATGTTTATATTGAATATAATTTTGTTTCATTGTATTTATATACAGTATAAATTTATTATTTTTATTTTCTTTCACTGACGAAAAATATTGTCCGTGCAACGCACGGGTTAGAGAACTAGTAGATGTCAATGTAATACGGAGTAATTAACAGGTTTGCAAAGTTGGTCCGTATCTTTCACGTCGTTGAATTAGCTAGGCTAACGAAAGTGGCAAACACATTCCACTCCACAAGGTAAGTTTGACAAGATTAATTAATTAAGTAATTTGTACACTACCTATATGGAGTTCAAAGTCAAGTCCAAAGATCATAAATCATTATTACTCTTATACTAATAATGAAAGCTAATCCTCATTCTCCGTTATAATAAAGCACCATAAATAGGGACATATTGATGGGCACAAAATATAAACTTTCTCTTTTGTCTCAACTAGACTCGTACCCGTGCGTTGCACGGGCAAATTATTGACTAAAGAATCATCGAAAGTTTTGACGAAGGAAAATGATAAAAATACTTAAAGATAAGATAATGTAATATAATTCTAAAGAAAGAGAAATATACATTTATAGACAATATTGATGGGAAGTGGTATAAGTTTTAAAAATTTCTTTTATAAACTACATTTATAGTTTGATTCGACAATGCATGAGTTTTTTAATAGTGTGTGCACGTGCACAAATGCGAATTGTTCTTGAGTTTTATACTTTTACTAGTATTAACCTTGTGCTTCACACGGGCTCGCATATTTACAAATTTTGACATCTAAAAAATAAAATACTGTTTATTTTAAATTATCTAATGATGTATGATGTGTTTGAAGATATATAAAATAATAAAAGGTGGATTCTTTTCAAAAATATATAAAATGTTAGTTTTTTAATTAATAAAGTTATTATACTTTTCTTTGAATAATCATATAATTATGCATATTTAAAAATATGTTATAATAATGAAATATATGTATTTCTAATAGTTAAAAAGCGATGAGTTTTATAGATAATAATAAATATAATGAATATTTGAAAAAGTAAATGATTTTATAACCATTTAATAATGATAATGTTGATTTAATGTTAGAAAGTGAAGGTTTTTAACATATGAATAAAATTAATACTTATTTAATGTAAAAATAAGTATGCACACATGGCAAGACATGTGACATGGTGTGCAAAACTAGCGTGAAAAGTTTATACAAAATTAATGGACATTGATTGAATCACTAAAAAGTTGTTTAAAAAATATGTATCCTCAATGCTACCTCTATTATTGAATCACTAAAAAGTTGCTTAAAAAAGATCAATAAGAGTGAAGTATGTGGACCTGCAGACCTGCATTTGACACTTGAAAAGTACTATGGTAAAAATCAAAAGAAATTTGCAGGGAATTGCTCTGCCGCCTCTGCTTAAATTGAAGCGGCTTGGGATGCACTAAACCTGGGGTACAATGCACTGCCAAGGTACGAACGTTCAATGAAGCATCCTGAATTTAAGGGCGATGAAACCAAACTATGTTTATGCTTTTAAGTAGGCGTTTATGTTCGTTGTGTCTTTCTTTTTCTATTTGTTTAGAGAAATTTGAATTAATTTACATTTTTGTGTTTCATGCTAAGGCGTGGGATGGAGATGGGTTTCTAATGGTGGAAGGACTTGAATTTTTGGTGTTAGGATAACATTAGTCCACAAAAGTTTGGTTTCTATATTTTCTCTCATAGTCCCATGCATTTCATTGTGATAGAGTCAGTAGTACTAAAAAATAGAATTGATACTTCGTATTATATTTGCAAAAACAGGTATACCATCCAAGCCTAAAACACAACCAACAAGAAAAAAATAGACCTAAACCCAAACCAAAAGATTACCATTTCCAAAACCATGTAGCATGTAGAATATCTCCATTCACTCTTTCCAAACAAACATAAAACCTCATCACGATAATAATTTACGTCTAACTCACTACATTTAAATTATAATAGTCGATGGACACGAGCTCGTAATACTTTGCATAAATAATTCTTCTAAAACTTTCTCAAATGGGTATACTTTCTCTTAGTGTACTTAGCACATACTTTTTTCCCTGTTGGATGAAGTTGCAGTCTAGGCTTTTATTGTAGCAGGTTTGACTGAGCATTGAAAATGCTTTGGGATAGTACTGTAGGATAATCGAATGCTTTGGGATATGCCTTTATTTGACTGTGCTTCCTCATTGCTTTGAGATTACCTTTTATTTCACTTCAACAATGTAAATCAAATTATTTTAATTCATTTCACTTTCTCTTTACTGTTAGTATTCATTGATTTTCAAATTATTTTAATTCGTTTTACTTTCACCTACACAATTTTTTTTATCTTTCTTAGGGGAGGTTTTATTTTCAATACCTCATATGTTCCTTAAGCTTTGCTTTGGTTTTGATTTTTGAGAAAGTTCTGAAGACAATACCAATATTGAAATATAAATATTTCTATAACATGGTTGGGGTTCCAGGATTGCAAGTCGAGCTAATTTGTTGTTAGTGACGTGTATTGTAAGTAATTAATTTATCAATTTTTTCTTAAGTTCTGTTTTGCAGTGAAATAACTTGCAATTAAAATACTCTGTATATCATTTCATTTTGTGTTCGTGATCAATTGTGTAAGATTTTTCATAATGTGCTCTTGTTATTCTGTAAATGTTAATAGTTGATTTGAGACTGTATTTATTATATGCTTATTTTAAGACAATGTGGGTATTATTTTAACATGGTATTTTGGCATCATTTTTGAGCTTATGAACCCTTAATTAATTTATGTTTCTTTTCATCTCTTATAATGTCTGTGATTGTTCTCCCTTATTGGCTTATCACTGTATTATGATGTTTTTTTACTTCTCAAGTTCTCAAGATTTTGCTGACAAGAGAGAAGGGATTTTTACTGCTTCATGATTCAAATGACAATGTAAGTTAATCTAATCTCTTATGGTCTCTTTTTAATTTTGTTATGGTGTCTTTTTTGAACATGCTATTTGTTATACTAAAAAAAGCACTTAGACAACAAACAAGAATTGGTTTGGTGTTGTAAGAAAAAAAATAAAACCTTCACTTAGGCAACAAGAACTGGTTTGGTGTTAGAGGGTGTATATATGTATCATTATCCTTTTCAGGTGCACATATGTGTCATGTGAATAAGATCTCAAAATACTTTAGATGCCCATAGTCACATCCTTATGTTCTTTTTTGTTAATGTAGGCTTTGTATTTCTCTGTTCAATTTCAGAAGCAGTTGTTTGAACACTATTCAAGTATCAAAAACTTTGCTAATGCAAATGAAAGTCTCTTGACATGGAGATTTATTTATGCAAGTAATGCTTGATGCCCTTTGATAAATAACTTATATTTCTGGGTTTGAGTGTCAAAACTATTACTTCTTAATACATCATTCCTATTGATATTGTCAATTTCCAATTTTCTTTTCATTAATAGAACAACTTTTAGAAAAACATTTTAGTCTCACTATTTTTTTCATCTCTTGGAACTAGCTTTTGGTCAAAGTCATTGGTTTGATCTATGACTATGATGTGGTCGCTTAGTTTTAGCAAGAGTAATTAAGAGTAGTTGCTTGATTTTGGGTGTTGGAATATTGATTTTGATACAAGTTTCTACTCATGGGTTTTAGTTATGGCTATGGCAAAGGCAGATATCAGTCTTGACTAATGGTGATGGCTACTAGCTTGGTTTGCTTTGATGCTGGTTTCTTTAGTGCGTAGGGCATGTTTTTGTAAAATAGGTCAAATTTATTGACTTCTAGAAGGATTTTAGTTTTATTTTGTTCTTTAGCTTAGGTTGCTTTTTTAATAGGACCAAGACTGTTAGGAGACTTTGTCATGATACGGTATTTGACTTATTGATCAGGGAATTTTTTTCGTTTCTTCCCCTCGACCCGTTTTTGGTCATAACTCTTAAGAGCTACACTCCTATTTTTAGAGGGGCTTTAATTTAGTCCTCTTTTATATTTTTAATTTTTTTGGCATTTATAAACTTTACTATTCTTTATTTTTTTAAAAACACATGAACAAAATGGTGATAATTGACATCCAGGGGCATAACAGGCAGTAATTAATTTGCATACAAGAAACACGTGTATACATTCCTAACCCGTGCGAAGCACGGGGTAGACAACTAGTTGCATGTGTTATTACTTCAACTTAACAAATGGATAATCAAATATTAGCCCTCCGCTTGCCACCATTCCCGGTCTATCTACTAGTTATCTTGACACTCAATATCTAGGGGATGAAAATCTTACATCAAGAAAGGTACGTTGCTCAACTCTTAATTTCCCCAAACAGGAAAATGATCTAAATGGGAGCTAGATAACTAACAATACACATTTGCAGGCACTAATTTACCGAGGAGCCCGGCGGGCCTTTCAGTTGCTTTCACGAAAATCAGCATCAATAACTTCTCCTTCTCCAGCAACTTTACCCGATGATGATGAACCTGATTTTTCTGTTGTGCCATCAGGAGTAGGTGTAGGGGTAGGTCTGCCTGAACCTGGCTGGCTGTAGAGAACTTGCCCGAGTTGCATCACTTCTTGGTTCAGTGCCGCCATGGCATCCTTAATGGTTTGGGTCGAACCGCTAGAAATGGCATCTTTCAGCTCTTTCACCTTAGACTCCACCTTGTCTTTGACGTCCGTAGGGACCTTCTCTCCTAACTCCTTCAATTTCTTTTCAGTCGCTTTTCAGTCTGGTAGACGACAGATTCTGCCTGATTCTTTGTGTCAACGGCGTCCCTCCTCTCCTTGTCCTCTCTTGCAAACTTCTCTGCTTCCTGAACCATTCTATCTACCTGAAGATAACATGAAATTTTGTTGAGGGGAAAACTGAGACTCATTGTTTGTGCAGATCATAAGTGCAACAGTTTAAGTTTTCAGATGTAATTAAGAACTGAGATCTTTTAGACATAAAGTAAAAATTAGACACACACCTCATCTTTGGGCAAGGTGCTGGCACCTGTAATTGTAATGTCCTTTTTCTTTCCAGTTCCTTTATCTATAGCAGTGACAGAGAGGATGCCATTAGCATCAATGTCAAACTTCACTTCAATCTGTGGGACACCACGAGGAGCGGGTGGAACCCCGTCAAGGCGAAAACTTCCCAAGGATTTGTTGTCTTTCACAAATTCTCTTTCCCCTTGAAGCACATTTATTTCAACACTGGTTTGCCCATCTGCTGCAGTTGAGAAAACCTCAGATTTGGATGTGGGTAGAGTTGTGTTCCTTGGGATGATCTTTGTCATAACACCACCAAGAGTCTCAAGGCCAAGGGATAGTGGAATTACATCCAACAGCACAATGTTGCTTACATCACCAGACAAAACCCCTGCCTGAAGTTGAACAACAACCGCAATGGATAAGAACACAAAAAATATGATAGAGAAGGGTGAAAAGCTATATAGAAGACACAGAAAACCCTATATTTGGAGGGAGAGAGGGGTGGCACTTGGGGGGGGGGGGATTCCAACCTGTACTGCAGCTCCAAGAGCAACAACTTCATCAGGGTTGACCGGTTCTTTACCAGTCAATTTCCGGACAAGGTCTTGTACAGAAGGAATTCGTGTAGATCCACCAACAAGGATGACTTCGTCTATGTCGTTAAAGGATAGCTTTGCATCTTTTAAGGAAGTTTCAACGGGTCTTTTCAACCTAAAAATCAAATCTTGATCATGGTCATTGATGGAGAAAGCATGCAGGACAACATGAAACAAGGAAAGTCCTAGTGATGGCAGAAATCATTTACCAAACTGAACTGCAAAAAATCTAGTCTGAGCAGGTACTGAACATGATATGTTTTAATTTGGATAAAAAGAACTGCTTACCTATCTAATAAATCTGAACATAAATCTTCAAACTTGACCCGTGTAAGTGTGGTATCAATATGCTTTGGACCATCTGTAGTGGCAGTTATGAACGGTAAACTGTAACAAAAACAAACTGACATTTAGCAATGAAGAGAAATTTCACTGTCGTTAATGTGACTGTGTTTCTTGAGGTGCTTTCTACCTCAGGCGATACACATTTAGGAGGAGATGACTTTGACAAGGTAAACTGGACTTGTACCAGCGTTTAGTGTCTTTCATTCATGTTTTTTTGGGTTTTGGCTCGACCAAGTTGGTGAATATTGGTTTATGCCTGGTGTTCCACCAATAGAGGATTGTGGGTTGGCTAGCTGATGACTTCAAGAAGCAAGAAGGAATAGATATTCTAAGAGATAAACAAGCACTGCAATGCCTCACCGAAACTGTCGAGAAGGCGAAGATAGAACTCTCTTCACTGACTCAAACAAATATCAGGTACATTATTCTTTTGTTGTTATATTTTCTTTCCACAGTTTTGTGGTTTCCCACTAATATCAACCAGGTAACGGAGGACTTAAAGAAGAGGCAATACACAGTATCTGAACACAAAATGATCTTTCAAGTGCTATTAATAAGAGATGCTTCACAGTAAAATGAGTCTATACCTGAGACATCAAAGGTACCACCACCAAGATCGAAAACGAGAATAGTTTCATTGTTTTTCTCTTCGAATCCGTATGCTAGTGAAGCAGCATTAGGCTCGTTGATGATACGCAAAACTTCTACCCCAGCAATACGGCCAGCATCTTTTGTTGCAATTCTCTGAGAGTCATTGAAGTATGCTGGCACTGTAATGACTGCTTTGGTGACCTTATCGCTTAAGAACTTTGACGCATCGTCAACAAGTTTCCTCAAAACCTGTGATCAAGACAATTACAACCCTTTTAGGAAAACAAGATGAAAGAACAAAAGGACATCACTCTAGAAATATGTTTTCACATCACAATTTGAGAAATAAGGGTTTAAGTAGACACTGTCCCAAGATGCAACAAATCTTCTTCATGTCTGTGTTTATAAAGAAAACAAGATTTCAAGTAAAATTGGACAAGAAAGTTAAAAAAATGTAAAATGGGAATTCATTGATGTTATACCTGAGCAGAGATTTCCTCGGGGGCGAATTGCTTTCCAATGGCGGGGCACTCCAACTTGACGTTCCCATTCTCATCTCTCACCACGCTGTACGACACCTGCTTTGACTCATCGTCGACCTCAGACATCTTCCGGCCGACGAACCTCTTTACAGAGAAGAAGGTGTTCTCCGGGTTCACCACAGCCTGGCGCTTGGCAATCTGACCCACGAGGCGGTCTCCGGCCTTGGTATACGCCACCACAGAAGGCGTCGTCCGCTGCCCTTCTGCCTTCGTCACGATTGTAGGCTTTCAGCCTTCCATCACAGCAACAGCAGAGTTCGTCGTCCCCAAATCTATGCCCACCACCTTCTCGTTTCTGACCCTCAGCGGCCTGTACCCGGGCTTCGCCGCTCTCTGACGGCTGTAGCTTCTCTTCCGCAGCCGGACGCCTATTCCATGGTCGGATAGCGAGGCTTTACTGTGGCTAAATCTGTGGTGTGGAAATGGTAGCGGCACGTGGGTGGCAAATGAAGACGCCATCACTCACTTTCTCCAATGCCTCGGAAACTCTTCTAAAATTTCAGTTGATTGGGAGCGATGTTTATAGAGGGAAAAGTTGAAGAGAGATTTCTAGAAGAGTGTGGGAGGAGCAGATAAAGGCTTTGTTTGGTAAAAGCGTTTTCGATTAACGTTAGCGTTTTGGATAACATTTTAACGGTGTAGATGAATTCTGAAAACGCTAACGCTAAAGGCTACCGTCGGATAGCTTTTTTAAAATGCTAACGCTAATCTCTGACGCTGATGCCAAACGGGGCCAAACTCAGCAGCGTTCCAGATTTTGTTTTGGACTATTTCTACCCAAGATTTGTACACCGCATATTTGCACCTTCATTTTATGTCAATGTAATATTATGGTGATACTTTATACATACACAAAATGTTAGTACAAATTTTTATTAACACACCAGCATTTTGAATGATAAAAATGTTAGTACAAACCTTTAGTATTGTTAACTGATACAACGGGAATAAAATAAAATATAATAATCCGAACTTATAAAACGTTCGGATTTTACAACGAAAAATAAAGAAAGGAAAATTAAAAATTGGAGTCTTCGGAAGCTCGAACGGACGCAAGAACGGACACAAGAACACGAACGGACGGGTGCTTTGATTGGAAAATAGAAACGACGGACGAAGGGGTAGGATGTCGCCGAAGCAGTTTCTCGAACTAAAAGTTAGGAAAGCGGAGTCTCCGGAGCTTTCCTTAAGGTAATATTGCCCGCCTCCCGCACTGGCAAACATGGGCAATCTCCTCCCAGGATAAAACCGCTTCGTGCAAGGCCTGTGGCAGGAGAACCGTGCACCGACGAACGAAAATGATTAGTCGTTATTGCCGGAGAAGACAACCGGAAACCGGGGAATCGACGGAGGATTATACGTATATAGAGAGAGAACCTTTTTGCTACGTATTTGTTCTCTCGACCAACCTCTCCTTAAATAGGAGGAAGCTTGGCTAACTGGACAGACCGGACGGATATACCGAGGAGTCTCTAGTGACTCTTCGGTCTTGTAAAAATTTAGCCCCGCAGACGCGCGCGCGTGACGTGCCGAGCCAGACAAGCGGCGGCGGCGGCGCGCGAGGAGTCCTTTTCTTGTTCCTTTCATAAGCTTAATTCAATGCTTAAGCTTAAATATGAGAATACGAAAGGTTCAAAAACCGGTGTGGGACAAGGGATTTTACTCTTCCCTCATATTCAACTTTGAGAATTAATTTCTCATTCATCCGAGCACCGTTTGTGGCATGTAATATGTCAAGACATTCGTCTTACTTACGAGATTAAACGTCCATAATTATTTCGGAAAATAATTTTGTGGACCCTACCGAATTTATGTCCGAAAATGTCCAATTTATCAAAAAAATTTCCAACAAGTGTAACTTTGGGGAACACTTTTTGGTGTAAATGTAGCATGGTTGTTTTGTTTTAGGAGAAAGACCAAAGTAAGACTGAAACATTAAAAATATACCAAAATAGGACTTCCATGTTTTTATTTCCGAAATAGGACTTAAAATGCATTTACATTACCAAACATGGTCATGTACATTACCAAAAAGTATAGTAATGTGCACATGTACAGTGACACATTGCAATCACATTACCATAGTGTTAAGTTCTATTTCGGAAAAAAACATGAAAGTCCTATTTTGATACTTTTCTCTATGTTTTATTCCTATTTAAGGTGATCTCTAATTTGTTTTAGACCTTTGCCACATGACACTTTACATCATACTCTCTCTCTCTACACACACACACACAGATATATATATGGGATTGACTCCAGTGAGATGACACCTAATAGTGAGATGACATGCTTCGGTGAGATGACGCAAAACTCTCCACACTACACTACAAAGCTCACCAATACACAATGCAAAGCTCACCTAGAAATAAAGCAAAGCTCGCCACTTTGAACATCAAAACTCACTTTTTTTTTAAATTTTAAAAATTAAAAAGTTAATAAAAAATAAAATAGCAACACCGGTCAACCACCGGTCAGCGGAGGCGACAGATTCCGGCGGTGACCGGCAGCGGAGTCCGGGACCAGCGGCGGAGACCGGCGACCAGTGGCGGAGTCCGATGGCCGGCGGCGGTGCGGTGGCGGCGGCTAGCATTGGCGCGGCGGCAGGCGGTAGGCAGCTCTCAAAGGTCCCGGTCAATGGTCAAAATCTAGTCAACACCTCTTCCTTTGATTTTATTTTTTTAAAAAAAATCAAAGTGTTGAAAAAATATGGTGAGCTTTGTTTTATACTTTGGTGAGCTTTGTAGTTGTCTTTGGTGAGCTTTGCAGTGGCTCGTGGTGATCTTTGCGTTATCTGACTGTAGCACGTCATCTTACCTTTATATATATATATATATATATATATATATATATATATATATATATATATATATATATATATATAGACACACACACACACACATATATATATGATGGATTCGAGTCATATGTCACCTTACAGTGATATGACGGTCAGATGATGCAAAACTCACCACTGCAGACAGTAAAGCTCACCCACACTATCTACAAAGCTCATTCACACCAACTACAAAAGCTCACTATTATTTTTTCATACTTTGATTTTTTCTAAAAAAAATAAAAAAAAAGGAAGAGGTGCTAATTAGATTTTGACCGTTGAACGAAACCCTTAACCCCGCCAGGTTCCACCGCCAGCCGTTGATCGCCGCTACCGACATTCGCCGGTCACCGCCGTTCGCCGGTCACCGCCGCAAGTCACCGGTTGCCACCGCTGCCGGTCACTGCCATTCTTTAATTTTTTATTTTTAAAATTTAAAAAAATGGTGAGTTTAGTGTTTAAAGTGGTGAGTTTTGCATGGGTCATTGGTGAGCTTTGCAGTAAGATAATATGCATTACTTTCAATTACCTAAAATTATAAATTTAATGTTTGTATTAACAATTTAATGAGAAAAAAGAGATTATGTTTTATGCACAAAAAAACATAAACAAAGGCTTCAATATGACTCAGTTTCAAAGTGAGTCACACAAACTCTTAGCTAAACATTTACTTTTTAACTTGAAAATTACAAGAATTTATGGAAAAAGGCAGAAAAGGGATGGAATTTGTGAGAATGCCCTCCTGGATCTAACAGAGAATCGCGTGAGACGTGTCTGTTCCACTCGCGAGAAACGACAGAAAGGCCCTTCTAATCAAATAACAAAACGGGGCAGAAATTTAACGGAAATATTAAAATTAATGGCCTGCTGTTAAGTTGTCTTTGAAGCGAGTGATGATTTTCAAAGGGGCAAAACAGCGTCGTTTGAACGCCCAACCAATCCTTAACCCCCCGACCAATCTTGGGAAACGATACACCTTCTCCCCCGAAACTGTTCGGCTCTCGTTCTCCTTGGCTAATTACGGCTTTGTCTACCTTGGTATATTGTGGTCGCATACCTTCACTTACTACGGCACTTTTGTTTACCATGGAGAACATTAATGCAAATGGCACGGTCCAGTAAAAGAGAAGAAGAACTCTCACCCCAACACAAATGGAGGAGATCGAGAATGCAAACTAGGTTTTTCAGATTTCCCTCACTTAAAATTAACTGATTTTGGTTTTAGTTTTGAACTATTTGGGCTTGGTGTCAGATTTCTGTTGGGGTAACTCAATCTCTGGAAGGTAAATCGTTCTCGGACAATTCTGAAATTGACGTGCATTGCACGTACACTAAATTACTAAAATATACTCCCTCCGCCCCCCTGTATTTGTCCACTTTCATTTTTACACACCATCTAATGCACTTCTTTAATCCATTTTATCTTGTAATTTGTATATTAAAAAATTATAAAAATTATATATTAATAATTTATATGTTAAGACAAATCAAACAAGATCATACATGACTATATTTAGGCTTACACATTGAGAGAATTTGATGAGTCAAAGTGCTTAAATGAACAGTTCCAAAAGTCAAATGTGGACAAATACAGGGGGACGGAGGGAGTAATATTTTAAGTTTATTTTGTTTGAGATTGAATAATTCGGATGCATAACAAGTCATTCGACCATAACAATCATGAATATAACATTACAGTAATAGATTATAGTTGAATTCATTTGAATACGTTTTTTGAGTAGTTCTCGTCTTTATAATTCGGTTCCAGCGTTGAATTGCACCATTGAAATGGAGAAATTACCTGAATGAAGTTAACTTTAAAATCTTCTTAGGGAGAGTTCCAGAATCTGATGAGTGGTGGACTTGGAGATCATAAAGAAGTCCTTACTTTGTTTAGGGAGAATACCCCTTTTGCACATTTTTTGGATGTTGAGTGTATTCCTTCCCCTTTATTTTTATGGCAACTCATTGCGAGGGAATTGAAGCCAAAATAAAGAGGCAAGGAGAGATGTGGTTGTTGTGAAAGAAGTTCCTGTTAGGTACTCGTTGGTGGAATTGTTCCTTATAAGCGGCCTGAACTGCTCTTAGCTCAACCTCGGCTTTGAAAATTCAAATGAATTGACCTCGGCCAAGAATGAATTTATTCGAGCACACTTTCTTTCTGCAAAGAAGGGAAAAAAATCTGCTGCAGTTACATACAAGATGGTTGTGCAGTATTTTCAAGACATGTGTAAAGACTTGGACGGAAAAAAGAATGAAGGCTGTGAAAATGACCACACTTTTATTTATTGTTGTTGTTCTGTTAGGTTCTGCTGATCGCGACAAGTCCATTATACCACAATAGATACTGGGCATGATTGGACAGTGGAGAGCAGTTAGAGATTTCCCATGGGGAACCAGGGCATTTATGGAGTTCTTATGGTTAGTGAAGAAGGACCTAGTTGCTAAGGCCAAATCAGTTGAAAGTGGAGCCTCATCAACAATGCATTATACCAAATCTGTCTTTCAGTGAAATTCCAATAAAGAAGAAAATCACCCACATAGAGATGGATGGTTACATTGGGGATCTGCAGATGTATACATATTATTGGTCAAAAAGGATTAAAATTTAGGACTATATAGAGCATTCCCATTATAAATTGTCATTTTTTTGGCCGCAGGCTGTACAGAGCATTCTTTATCTCGACAGGTTTGAGGCTACTGTAGAGTGATTTATGAACTTCCATCCTTTACAGACCACAACACACCTTGAGTTGGATCTATTTGTGGCAAAGTTACAAGCTAGAGGGGATGTCCACATTCTGGTGGGTAGGAAGAGAAAAGCTCTGCATCTTATGATATGTGATATTTCTCTAGAGCCAAATGAGCACATCATCTCCTCTCCCCAAGCATCTCAAAGCCTTAGAGACTCTTCTTCTAGAGCCTCTCCTTCGTACATCCCATCTCCATCGTCCCATATCCATTCCCCCACTAGACCTTCATCCAATCTGTTGCAAAAACTCTTTGAACAACTGTCAAAGAAAATAGATGATATTGCATTGCAACAACAAAAGACGTTTGAATTACTTGAAAAAAGTTGATGATCTGGCAACTTTAATAACACAATCTACTCAAGTAGTCGAAGAACAAAAAAAGACTGTGAATAAGGTGTATTCAATATTTAATATTAGAGCTTTCTATACTTTTCGAAAGGTCATCAAATAAATAATTTAATCCAAACTAATCTCCTATATGTAAAAATCTGAAGGCAAATGTACCAGAATCAACCGAAGAACCAGTGAAGACTTTGTTGGAGGTAAGTCGAAATGTTTCCGAATATTTAATATTGGAGCCCTCGAAACCTTTCGAAATCTCTTTAAAATGTTGTCGAACTATTCGAAATGTCGTCAAATAAGTCATACGAAATGGTGATTTACATCTAAAGGTGCCTGCGCTTTCAATGGAAGGACAAAATGAGACAATCATGGATGATTTTCAAGAGGGAGAGACAATCAATCCTCCATCGTTTGAAAAGGTTTTGGGTTCAATGCAGTCATTTCATTTTGTTTACTTAAGTAGTCAAATGAAATCAGAATATCAGTCAATCATTTCATATTTCACACTCTTTAGGCTTAGCCTGGGTTTGCTAAGCCTCGTGATTTGATGTTAACAAATAATATAAGAGCTAAACATTTGTTTAAGTGTTTCAAGTACAACAAGAAATCCATTAATATTTTACTAGTAAAGTAAATACTAGTATTTACTAGTAAAGTAAATATTAGTATTTACTAGTAAAGTAAATACCAGTAAATATCCTCAATGTTCTTAATATTTTCCTGCAAAGTGATCATCGATAACAAAGAGTAGCTTGGAGCATAGATCCTGGTGTAACACCTGCCTTCCGTGGACCCCGTTCACCCGCGACCCAACGGACTGGTAGGGTTACGTGGGTGGTCCGAGAACCGTCCGTAGCGAAAAATATTAATGTTTATTTATTATGAAAACGGTTGTGTTTAGTTTTATTATGAAAACGGGTGCACTGTAGTATGCGCACGGAAGTCTGACCTCCCTACAGCGGTATGCACATGATGGTAAACCTAGGACATGCGTCTAGAATGAACATGATGAATGCTTGATATATTTACCTTTGGTTAAAACCAAGAATATATCCATTAAATAACTTACATAATGTAGATTAAAATTTCATGCAAACATACGATCATATTCTGGGTCAATATGGTCAACGGGACTCGTTCTACAAACTGCCTGAAAATCTGCCTGAGGAACGGTCGACCGTACCCTACCTGCGGTCGACCGTGGGCTATGGTCTGGGTCTTGGTCTCAAACGGTCCACCATCATGGCCGGCGGTCGACCGTCACAGTGGTGACCGTCGGAATGGCCGAGGGAACGGTCCACCGTCCGTAGCGGCGGTCGACCGTCTCGAAGACAGTCCTCTGTCCTTAGCTTCGTTTTGATCCATTTCGAATACTTAACACCTTGATTCTTTCTAGAACAATAATACAAACATTGATGAATATATTCGTAGTAATTTCTAGGCCATTATATATAAGTTTTACGTAGTGAACGTTTTGATGGCTAACCTACGAACATGCATAGATTCTACGTAGGTTGCGTACGATATTCCTATGAATATAACGACATAGATTATAACTAAATGTTCTAGAATTAGAGGGGACAACTACTCACCTCTAAACGTAGGGGTTGACGGAACGGTAGAACAGGATGAACAAACGATGCTAACGACGGACAACGAACGGTCGAACGATCACCGACGACCTTACGTGTTTCTTCTCTTCTACCTTCTTCTTCTCCTTCTCGCCGGAAGCCTCCCCTTGACTGTTTGCTGGGGGGCCGGAAAAACCAAGGGAAGAGGAAGGGAGTGAGGGAGTTATGGGATGTTTGGGGGGTTACAATTTCTAAGGAAATGTGAGGAAAATGGAGACGTGAGGTGTTTAAATTGAAGGAGAGTAATTGAGGAGAATAAATGAGAATGATGGTGATGAGTTGTGGCGTGTGAGTTAGTGCTGGGAGTTACATCCCTTAATTTTGTTCCGTTATGAAAAATCTTACCTGAACGGTGCGCGGTTTCCCCCCCGAACGAGACCGAATTGAGATCCGTTTGCGTTTCTGGAATCAAACAGTCAAAACGAATTTAATGACATGTTCAAATAATTTTTTCCTAAGGATTTTATTTTCCCAACTCCGGTCCGAGTTAATAATTAATTAATTAAATTAATCAATTCTATTAGACTGGGTTGTAGGGCGTTAGAATTATCCACCCCTTAAGAAAATTTCATCCTCAAAATTTACCTGATCATTGCTCACTGAAAAGATGTGGATAACAAGTGCACATGGATTCCTCGGTTTCCCATGTCGCCTCCTCAACGGTGTGACTTCTCCACAGAACCTTGACCAGCGGAATGGTTTTGTTCCTCAACTGACGGATCTCACGAGCCAGAGTCTCAAACGGCTCCTCCTCGTACGTAAGATTCTCATCAAGTGTGACCGTATCAGCTGGAATCACATGAGAAGGGTTCGACCGGTACCTTCGGAGCATGCACACGTGGAACACATTGTGAATCTTGCTCAACACCGATGGTAACTCGAGCCTGTAAGCTACAGGTCCCACCCGTTCAGTGATTGGGTACGGGCCTATAAACCTCGAACTAAGTTTTCCCTTCTTGCCGAAACGTAAGACGTTCTTCCAAGGCGACACCTTCAAGAAAACCTTATCCCCGACTGCATACTCAATGTCACGCCTCTTAAGGTCGGCGTAGGACTTCTGTCGGTCCGAAGCCGCCTTAAGTCGGTCTTTAATCACCTGGACCTTCTCCTCGGTCTCGCGGACAAGATCAGGCCCTTCCAGCCTCCTCTCACTGAGCTCTGTCCAGCAAGTAGGAGTACGACAGGGCCTACCGTACAGAGCCTCGTACGGTGCCATATCGATGCTAGCCTGGTGACTGTTGTTGTATGCGAACTCCATGAGCGGTAGATATCTCTCCCAACCGTCCCCGAAGTCGATCGCGCACGCGCGCATCATATCTTCGAGAATCTGAATCATCCTCTCCGACTGACCGTCTGTCTAAGGGTGGAACGCGGTATTGAAATGGAGATCGGAGCCCAAAGCTCTCTGTAGGCCCTTCTAAAACTGTGATGTGAAACGAGGGTCACGATCCGAAATGATAGATGAAGGAACTTCATGTAGCCTGATGATCTCACGGATGTACGAATGGGGAGAAAATGAGCTGACTTAGTCAATCGGTCAACGATGACCCAAACTGTGTCGTGCTTACGTGGTGACAATGGCAGTCCCACGACAAAATCCATCGTGATACGATCCCACTTTCACTCAGGGATAGTGATCTGCTGAAGTAATCCTGAAGGAACCTGATGCTCGGCCTTGACCTGCTGACAAGTCAAGCATCGCGACGTGAACTCTGTGATCTCCCGCTTCATCGCGGGCCACCAGTAATGTCTCTTAAGATCCTGGAACATCCTGTTACTGCCCGGGTGCATGGTATATACGGTGTGGTGTGCTTCGTGAAGGAGGTGCTCTCTCACCTCCCCCGCTAGCACTACCATACGCTCCCGATAGTACAAGATATCATCCTGAACCGTGAAATCCGGCTTCTCGCCTCGAGAGACGAGCTCACTAGTCTGGATACAAAGATCGTCGCTGCTCTGGGCTTATGCTATCTGCTGTCGTAATGTAGGCTGAATAGGCAACACAGTTAGAGTCTTGCGACTAAGGGCATCGGCTACCACATTCGCCTTACTTGGGTGATAAGCAATGTGACAGTCATAGTCTTTAATCAACTCCAACCATCTCCTCTGTCAGAGTTTCAGATCCTTTTGTGTCAACAAGTACTGAAGGCTCTTATGGTCGGTAAAGATACGCGTTGTCTCACCGTAGAGGTAATGCCTCTAGATTTTCAAGGCAAGTACAATGGCTGCTAACTCAAGGTCGTGCGTCAGATAATCACACTCATGCGGCTTCAACTGCCGAGATGCATAAGCAACGACCTTGCCCTCCTGCATGAGAACAAATCCCAAGCCGTTATGGGACGCGTTGCTGAACACCGTATACTCCACTCCTGGAGTGGGCTGGACTAGCACTGGTGCCTGGGTCAGACACTCCTTCAGCTGCTCGAAACTCTGCTGACAGGCGTCAGTCCAAACGAACTTGACATCCTTCCTCATTAGCTTGTGCAACGGTGACGCTATCCTGGAGAAGTCCTTCATCCGAGAAAGCTCCTCTCCTCTCGTGCACTACGCGGAGTCTTCCACTCTGTGATCGCTGATATCTTACACGGATCTACCTTCACTCCTTCGGCCGTGATGACATGGCCGAGGAAGGTAACCTCGTGCAACCAGAACTCGCACTTGGACAGCTTGGCATAAAGTTGTTGTTCCCGAAGAATGCTCAAGACAATACGTAGTTGCTCGGCGTGCTCCTCCTATGCTTAGAGTACACCAAGATGTCATCGATGAAGACCACAACAAACTGATCAAGATGCTTCTGGAACACACTGTTCATCAGATCCATGAACACTGCTGGTGCGTTAGTCAAACCAAAGGGCATGACTGTGAATTCGTAATGACCGTATCTAGTGCGCAACGCCGTCTTAGGAATGTCTTCCTTCTTAACGGGAATCTGATGGTATCCTGATCGGAGATCGATCTTAGAGAAGACCGTGGCTCCTCTCAGCTAGTCAAACAAATCATCAATGTGTGGTAACAGATAGCGATTCTTGATATCGATGCACAACCGCATCGACCCGTCCTTCTTGCGGACGAATAGGACTGGTGCTCCCCAAGGAGACACACTGGGATGAATGAAGCCCTTATCCAGCAACTCCTGCAGTTGAGCCTTCAGCTCCTTCATTTCCGCAGGTGCCATGCGATAAGGTGTGATTGAGATCGGTCCTGTTCCTGGAGCTAGATCAATGGAAAACTCTACCTCCATAGGGGGTGGTAGGCCGGGTAAGTCATCTGGAAATACATCGGGAAAGTCACATACCGTAGGGATGTCTTCCCTACGAGGTCCCTCCCAGCGAGTGTCACGCACTGTGCACAGGAATGCTTCGCACTTCTTGCGAATGAGTCGGCGAGCGTGAATGTATGAGATGAGTTCTGGGGCTTTTGGAAGAAGCTCACCACGGATCAGAATGTCGCTACCGTCTTCGGCTCTCAGTCGAACAGTATGTGCTCCACAATCAACAACGGCTTGGTTGGTAGTGAGCCAATCCATGCCTAGAATAATGTCAAACTCACGATGTGGGAGCTCAATGAGACTTTCTGGGAAGGTCTTTCCCTGAACCACTAATGGACAATCGTGATATACATGAGTGAGTCGTAGACTATGTCCCAATGGGTTGGACACGATTACAGGATTGTCCAAGTCTTCCCTTGGAATGTTAGGCATAACAAGCATGGGCATACAAACATATGATAAAGTAGAACCCAGATCAATTAATGCTGTGATGGATGTATCAAATAAGGTAAACATACCCATGATGACGTCATGGGCCGGCTGCTCAGTACGTCCTCGCATCACGTACGTACGGGCCGCTTGGGTTGACTGGATGCTGCCGCAGATTTCTGACTCTGGGCAGGCTGCGCTGCTGGAGCTGAGGCAGCTGGTGCTTATAAGTACTATTTTTATTAAATACTGTTGTGATTTTTTTTACTCACAAGTGCACAAACCGTACGAAAGTATAGCAATGCAAATACAGGTTGATCCCACAGGGACTTGATTATGTGAAGAATTTTATTCTAGATTCAATTGAATATTTCTAATCTAGTTGGACAAAACTTAATATTTTAAGAAAACCTAAATGTGAAAGTGAATAATTTTAAAGAAATCTTAATTTAAACAAAAACTAAAGATTTTTCTAACTACTAAAAAAAAGTGATTAAAAATAATTTTTCAAATATGAGAAAGAACTAGGACTTGGAATCCACTTATATATTCAAATGTAATTTTTACTCAATCATTATTTTTTCCAAACTTAATACGCATGATAATCTCGCAACCAAGTCTCGTTATCATGGAGGATATATCAATTAAGCTCTAAAAAAACAATTTCTATAGTTTTCTATTTTTCAAAGTTTCAAGAGAAATTCAAATCATTAATTGTATCTCATCAAGAAATCACAACTAATATCCGCTCTTTCAAGTTGTCAAACAATTATCAGGATTATTCAAAGCATGAGAAAAACATGATTGAACTCATCTAAAAATTAACCCTAATAATCAATTGGAAAAATAGACAATAAACATTTAAGATCAATATGGAAAAATAAATGATGAGTAAAAATCAAATTGAATATATAAGTTTCATCCTTGCCCTAGCTATGGAGTTTAGCCAAATATAATGTAAAATTCAACAAGATTGATAGTAAAACTTGACATAATTAAAGAAGAAGGGAAGAATTAAACTCTAAAATTGGAGGAAGATGAGGAGCCAGAGCCGAGCAAGAAACGTCGCCGCCGCACCAGGTCGTCGCTGCACCTTGTTCTTCGGCTCTGCTCCGTTCTCTTTTTTTTCGTTCTTTTTCCGTTTTCAGCAGCCCCCCTCCTTTGAGATGATGCGGCTCCTCTCTCTTTATACCCATCATGTTTCTCTCTTTTTTTAGGTTTAATGTGGGTTGGGTTGGATTGGATTTGTATAGCAATTGGATCTTGACTTGCACTTGGACTTTAAATCTTCAATTCCATTAAAGCTTGGCCCAATTCTCCATCCCTTGAACTTAACATCTATTTTTTTTTATTCCAAAGAGTATATCTGAAAATACATATAAGAGAAATTAATTTCAACACGAAATATAATAAAAACTTTACCCAACTTATGATTTTAGTGTAAAAATATTACAAGTAGCCTAAAGAGCCAAATATTTCATTATGCACTTTATTTTAACATAAAATGTACTAAAAATAAAATAAAGAACTAAAGTATGACCAAATAAAATGTGACAATTTGTAACGTATCAAATACCCCCACACTTAGTCCTTTGTACGTCCTCGGGCAAAGTAAATACCAAAAATCCTAACTCTCTTTTTTTAACATTAGAACTCAAAATAACTTCTCTATCTTATATAACAATATAAAGTGATGTATTTCATTATGCACTTTCATTATGCACTTTATTTTAACATAAAATGTACTAAAAATATAATAAAGAACTAAAGTATGACCAAATAAAATGTGACAATTTGTAACGTATCAAATACCCCCACACTTAGTCCTTTGTACGTCCTCGGGCAAAGTAAATACCAAAAATCCTAACTCTCTTTTTTTAACATTAGAACTCAAAATAACTTCTCTATCTTATATAACAATATAAAGTGATGTATTTGAACATTAATAAAAAATTAATCATATACCAAATAGAATGAACACTTTAAAAATCAATTTGCTACTTTAAATTTTAAACAATTCTTTCACTTCAAAGCTAAGTAGAAATTACTTTTATTCAATGTCAAAACTTTGAATTAATTAAGGTCATTGAGAATAATTTAAAAGAAATACATAGAGCAGCAAAAAGTGGTTAGAAATCCTAAGGAACCATCAAGTAAGGAAATGCTCAAGAAAATATATTTTCTTCTCTAAAACTTGGAAACTTTGATTTATTGCTTTTATTCAGTATTTGATTTTTCATTGTTTGAGTTGACCCGTGTAGCGAGTCTCAACCAGGCTACCCCAGGCCCATTCCAGATAGCCCAGAACCTAAATAAACGAAGTATTCCGAGGGTTTCAACTCGAGTGCTCAAACAATATTTTATTCATTTATTTTCTTTTATTTTACTTTTTTTACCTAGCCATTTATTGCACTTTTTTCCTTTTTTTGGCTCAATGGCATCGGTTTTTTTCTTATTATTTTAAAACTAGTTATGGACGAGATTCTTACGGCCCAAAACGGGGTTTGCTCTTCCAACTTAGGTTTTCTGCATACACAACATCACTTCCTTTTGGGATTCGTTGCTTAAGGGGTCAAAGGTGCCGTGTCACCCATTCCAACCTAAGATGGTGTTCCAGTATATACATTATATTCATTTCAGCATCTTGATAATATGTAATTAACCATAGTTTAGAGAAGAAAAAAGATATTCTTAAGACTAACTTTACTTGAATAGAAACTTAGGACGAAAAAGAGTTAGAAAACTGCTCCATATACTTCTAAATAAATTAGGCACATTGAACTTAACAAAATAAAAGGTAAGAGATTAAATAAAAATAAGTTCTAAATAGATTTGATTTAAAAGATATGTTTTAAACTTTGGAGTAGCAAACTTATTTTTTTAAGAAGCTCAAACATATTTGTTACAATATTAATTTCCATTTAATGCCAAAATACAAAATTTAAGTGCTAAAAGATTAAGAAGTAATTATTAAGAATTCTAATAAGTTTTTTTTGAAACACGCTTCCAATTATTATAGTTTTCTCTAAAAACTTAAAAAAAAATTGAATTTGTTTAACCAAATTGCATCTTTTATGCAGAATAAAAAAAATTCTACCCAACCCATGCTCCTCTAACATCTAGTATGTTTGGTAAAAACATGCAAATATATTTAAACAGGTGTATTCCAAAAAAATGCTCAACTAAATGTAAGTGTCCCCACCACACTTAATTCATGCAATGTCCTCAATGCATGTCAAAGTTATAATACAAAAAAAACCTTTGCACATTCTAGCTAAAACTATTAAAAGCATGGAACATGGAATGAGATTAAGAAACGAAAGCATCAACATCTCAAAAATATATTAAGCAAAATAACTTCCCTGGAAAATATTGGGTTGCCTCCCACTAAGCGCCTTTGTTTACTATCGTTGGCTCGACCCCATGCATCTCTCCGATAAGTTTTCTTCTCCACCTGATAAACAAATGGCAAGGAAAAAAATAAAAGGAGCAAATAACTAAGGCAATTAAAAGTTTTTTTTCTTTTTTTTTTTCTTTTTTCTTTTTTTTGGCCGATACTATATACATCCCCATACAAAGGCACCGAACTCTGGGAGGCACTTAAGCCGACTCACTAAGATTTAAAAAACAAATAGTTACAAATAGTTAATAATATAAATAAATTAGTCCTGGTAAACAGGATCTTCAATTGTGATCTCCTCGATCTCTGGAGATTTTAGCTCATGAAAGGGTTTCAATCGTTGACCTTAAAAACAGCACCATCCTTGGGATTTTCAATTTCAACAGCCCCATTGGAATAAACAGTGCGAACAATGAAAGGACTAGACCACCGAGATCTCAACTTACCAGGAAACAAATGCAGTCGAGTGTTATAAAGTACGACTTTCTGGCCAGACTCAAAAGATTTCCTGAGAATATTCTGATCATGCACTCTTTTCATTCTTTCTTTGTAAGATTTAGCACAATCATAAGCATCACTTCTAATCTCTTCTAGTTCATTAAGTTTCAATTTCCTCTCAACACCGGCTTGCTCCAAATCAAAATTTAAAGTTTTAATAGCCCAATATGCTTTATGTTCTAATTCAACAGGAAGATGACATGCTTTTCCATAAACCAGACGATAAGGAGACATGCCAATGGGAGTTTTAAATGCAGTACGATATGCCCATAATGCATCATCTAATTTTAAAGACCAATCTTTTCTTGAGGAATTAACTATTTTTTTTTCAAAATTCTTTTAATTTCCATATTAGAAATTTCAACTTGACCACTAGTTTGGGGATGATAAGGGGTAGAAATTTTATGCAGAACACCATATCTTTTCATCAAGTACTCAATAACTCTATTGCAAAAATGTTTACCCCCATCGCTGATAATAGCTCGTGGAGTGCCAAAGCGTGCAAAAATATTTTCTTTTAAAAATTTAACAACAGTTTTATGATCATTATCCCTACATGCTTTAGCTTCCACCCACTTAGATAGATAATCAACCCCAACAAGAATGTAAAGATTACCAAAAGAATTAGGAAATGGTACCATAAAGTCTATGCCCCAGACATCAAAGATATCTATAATTAAAATTGGATTTAAGGGCATCATATTTTTCTTATTAATGGTACCTAATCTTTGGCATCTATCACATGATGAACAATATGTATGGCAATCACGAAAAATTGTAGGCCAATAAAAATCACTTTGTAGAATTTTGTAAGCTATTTTCTTAGCACTAAAGTGACCACCACACGCATGATCATGACAAAAAGAAATAATACTTTGTTGATCACATTCAGGAACGCACCTTCTTATGATCTGGTAAGAGCAATACTTGAATAGGTAGGGATCATCCCAAAAGAAATGTTTTACCTCAGACAAGAACTTAAACTTATCTTGCTTGCTCCAATTTGTAGGTAACTGCTTTGTAACTAAATAATTCACAATATCAGCAAACCAGGGAGTTCCAGAAACTTGCATTAGTTGCTCATCAGGAAAAGACTCAACAATAGGTAGATCAGTATCATCAGTGTCAACAATCAATCTAGACAAGTGATCAGCTACTACATTTTCAGAGCCCTTTTTGTCTCTAATTTCAAATTCAAACTCTTGTATAAGTAGAATCCATCTTATGAGTCTAGACTTAGCATCTTTTTTTGACATCAAGTACTTTAATGCAGAATGATCAGAAAAAACAATAACTTTAGACCCCAAGACGTATGACCTAAATTTTTCCAAAGCAAATACAACAGCTAGCATCACTTTCTCAGTAGTAGAATAATTCAATTGTGCATCATTGAGTGTTCTACTAGCATAATATATTACATGAGGTAACTTATTAATTCTTTGGCTTAAAACAGCTCCAATAGCATAGTCAGAAGCATCACACATAATCTCAAAAGGTATAGACCAATCCGGTGGTTGAATAATAGGAGCAGATGTTAACTCCTTTTTTAATGTATTGAAAGCTTGTAGACATGCATCATCAAATATAAAAGGAACATCCTTACCTAAAAGATTACATAGGGGTCTAGAGATTTTACTAAAATCTTTTATAAATCTCCTATAAAAACCTGCATGGCCCAAAAATGATCTAATTCCCTTGACGTTCTTTGGAGGAGGAAGATTAGAAATTAAATCAACTTTTGCTTTATCTACCTCAATTCCATCTTTAGAGATAACATGACCAAGAACAATGCCTCTTTTAACCATAAAATGACATTTTTCCCAATTTAAAACAAGACTTTTCTCTTTGCATCTTTCTAAAACAAAAGATAAATTTTCTAAACATCTATCAAAAGAAGAGCCAAAGACAGAAAAATCATCCATAAATATCTCAAGGAATTCACCTATCATATCAGAAAAAATACTCACCATACATCTTTGAAAAGCATCAGGGGCATTGCATAACCCAAAAGGTAAACGGCGGTATGCAAACGTACCAAACGGGCATGTAAATGTAGTTTTTTCATGATCCTCAGGGGCAATGGGGATTTGAAAATAACCAGAATAACCATCAAGAAAACAATAATATTCATGACCAGCTAATTTTTCCAACATTTGATCAATAAAAGGGAGAGGGAAGTGATCTTTCCTAGTTGCAGAATTTAACTTATGATAATCAATACACATTCTCCATCCTGTTTGAACTCTAGTTGGAACTAACTCACTATTCTCATTTTTTACTACAGTAATTCCAGATTTCTTAGGCACAACTTGGACAGGACTTACCCAATTACTATCAGAAATAGGATAAACAATTCCTGCATCCAGTAATTTTTGTGATCACGAAGCCAAACTCTCATGCAACAACAAAAACTCTAAACGTAAGGTTAGTAAAAAAAATTTATCAAATTTTTTTACTTTTTTTTAATTTTTTTTTTGATTTTTTTTAGTTTTTTTTAAAAACAACTAGTAGAAGAAAAACTCAACTACAATCTAGAATTCAAATCTTTTCAAGTCCCCGGCAACGGCGCCAAAAACTTGTTGTGATATTTTATTTACTCGCAAGTGCACGAACCGTACGAAAGTATAGCAACGCAAATACGAGGTCGATCCCACAGGGACTTGATTATGTGAAGGATTTTATTCTAGATTCAATTGAATATTTCTAATCTAGTTGGACAAAACCTAATATTTTAAGAAAAACTAAATGTGAAAGTGAATAATGTTAAAGAAATCTTAATTTAAACAAAAACTAAAGATTTTTCTAACTACTAAAAAAATAAGAGATTAAAAATAAGTTTTCAAATATGAGAAAGAACTAGGACTTGGAATCCACTTATATATTCAAATGTAATTTTTACTCAATCATTATTTTTTTCCAAACTTAATACACATGATAATCTCGCAACCAAGTCTCTTATCATGGAGGATATATCAATTAAGCTCTAAAAAAACAATTTCTATAGTTTGCTATTTTTCAAAGTTTCAAGAGAAATTCAAATCATTAATTGTATCTCATCAAGAAATCACAACTAATATCCGCTCTTTCAACTTGTCAAACAATTATCAGGATTATTCAAAGCATGAGAAAAACATGATTGAACTCATCTAAAAATTAACCCTAATAATCAATTGGAAAAATAGACAATAAACATTTAAGATCAATATGGAAAAATAAATGATGAGTAAAAATCAAATTGAATATATAAGTTTCATCCTTGCCCTAGCTATGGAGTTTAGCCAAATATAATGTAAAATTCAACAAGATTGATAGTAAAACTTGACATAATTAAAGAAGAAGGGAAGAATTAAACTCTAAAATTGGAGGAAGATGAGGAGCCAGAGCCGAGCAAGAAACGTCGCCGCCGCACCAGGTCGTCGCTGCACCTTGTTCTTCGGCTCTGCTCCGTTCTCTTTTTTTTTCGTTCTTTTTCCTTTTTCAGCAGCCCCCCTCCTTTGAGATGATGCGGCTCCTCTCTCTTTATACCCATCATGTTTCTCTCTTTTTTTAGGTTTAATGTGGGTTGGGTTGGATTGGATTTGTATAGCAATTGGATCTTGTCTTGCACTTGGAGTTTAAATCTTCAATTCCATTAAAGTTTGGCCCAATTCTCCATCCCTTGAACTTCTTAACATCTATTTTTTTATTCCAAAGAGTGTATCTGAAAATACATATAAGAGAAATTACTTCAACACGAAATATAATAAAAACTTTACCCAACTTATGATTTTAGTGTAAAAATATAACAAGTAGCCTAAAGAGCCAAATATTTCATTATGCACTTTATTTTAACATAAAATGTACTGAAAATATAATAAAGAACTAAAGTATGACCAAATAAAATGTGACAATTTGTAACGTATCAAATACTTTGAAAAAACAACTTATTATTTCAATTTTTTTCTAAGTTTATTTAATAATTTAATTCATTTATAAGATTGCAAAAAACTATATAAAAAAATTCCGGTCTAAAGTAGGGTAACCCTGGACCAGACCGGAAAAAACAGGTCCGGACCGAAACTAAACAGGTCCGGTCTTCAGTCCTAAAGAAATTGCAATTCCAATTCCGGTCCGGTCCGGTTTTGGAATGCTGCACACCCCTATTCGCACCGCCGTTTATCTTATAAATCGTACACCCACTCCATTGTTACAAGGAAAATCTCCATATGAACTCCTTTCTTCAAAGCCTCCAGACTTGTCTCATCTCCGGGTTTTTGGGTGTTTGTGTTTTGTTCGCAATGTTCAGCGACCACCAAATAAATTTTTCCCGAAGAGTGTCAAATGTATGTTTGTGGGTTATCCTACGGGCACTAAAGGTTGGCGGGTCTATGATCTTGAGTCTCATCGTTTCTTTCATATCCGAGATATTTCCTTTGACGAATCCATTTTTCCTTTTTCCATCTCTAAAGATTCACCCACCTCGGATACATCCTCCCTACCTGTGCACGCCGACTTCCCTACTCCCCTCCCTGCTGCCGAAAATACACCCCAACCCACTGCTTCCTCCTCCGGCAGTGAGTCCAACGGCAGCGAGGCATCCAGCGGCAGCGACACCTCCACCAATCCGGCCAGTCAGGTCAGTTCGTCGTCCCCCCCCACCTCTCCACCCCCGCCCACAGTCCGTATACGACGCCCCCCTGCCCACCTTTCCGACTACTATTGTCATAACGCCTAGACATCGGATCCCGTTGCTCCTTCTATTGGTCAGTCCCGCTCTTCAGGTACTCGGTATCCTATTCATAATTTTGTTCATTATGAGAAATTACATGACAGGTACCGTGGTTTTCTAGTTGCCGTCTCCTCACACGAAGTCCCCAAGAATTTTAAGCAAGCCATGCAACATGCACACTAGCGGCAAGCTATGCAATAGGAGATCGACGCCTTGGAGAATAATCATACTTGGGACATCACAGATCTCCCTCCTGATCGGACAGCGTTGGGTTGTCAATGGGTATTTCGCACTAAGTTTCGGTCTGATGGTACCAAGGAGCGAGTTAAGGCACGCCTAGTGGTCTTGGGTAATCACCAAGAATTTGGTACGGACTATACTGACACATTTGCTCCTGTTGCTAAAATGGGTACGGTACATATTTTATTATCTATTGCGGTGGCTAAACAATGGGAGGTCCATCATCTTGATGTTAATAATGCCTTTTTAAATGGGGATTTAATTGAGGAGGTTTATATGCACTTGCCACCCGGTTATTATGTTCCCGGTAAAGTGTGTCATCTCCGTAAATATTTGTATGGTTTGCGACAATCTCCACGCAACTGGTTTCACAAGCTCAGCTCTGCTCTTCGTGTTTGGGACTTTAAAAAGGCTCATAAAGACCAGACTTTATTTATTCTGTGCCGTGGCAATGATATTCTCACGGTTCTGGTATATGTTGATGATATCCTGGTTGCAGGTAATAATCCGTCGATGTGTGCCTCCTTCAAAAGGTATCTTGACCGTTGTTTTCATCTCAAGGATTTGGGCCCGGTTAAATACTTCTTGGGCATTGAATCTGCCCAGTCTCCTGCTGGTATGGTTCTCTGTCAACGCAAATATGCATTGGAAATTTTAGAAGAGGTTGGCCTCTTGGGATGCAAAATCGGCGGGGATGCCACTGCTGACGGTGCATGGTCTCGCCACTTCGGTGGCACCTCTTCTCCACGATCCAGCGCGCTACCGTCGGTTGGTCGGCCGTTTGATATACCTCACCATCACCCGCCCCGATATTTGTTATTCTGTTCATGTTTTATCTCAGTTTATGCAGGCACCTACTCTTGATCATATGAATGCAGCTATGCGTGGCCTGCGATATCTCAAAGGCCACCCTAGCCAAGGTATCTTCCTTAGTGCCACGGGTAACCTTCAAATTACAGCTTACTGTGATTCTGATTGGGGAAGTTGCCCCCTCTCTCAGTGGTCGGTTAGCGGGTATTTCATTATGCTTGGCACTTCTCCTGTGTCTTGGAAGACTAAGAAACAGACAATTGTGGCGAGATCATCTGCGGAAGCCGAATACAGGGCAATGGCCAATGCATGCGTGGAAAGACGATGGATGCACGGCATTCTTGGCGCGTTAGGCGTCCCCATTTTATATCCTCCACGCCTGTATTGCAACAATCAATCAGCCTTGTATAGAAATATTTGTACTAAATAGCACTAAAACTTAAGTCATTTCTCTAAATAGCACTTAAATTATTTTATTCCCTAAATAGCACTTAATAATGTCTATAATGACATGTGTGACAAACATTTATTTGAATAACGACTAATGGATAATGACTAAAAGTGCTACATTGGGAAAAAAACACATGTAGTGCTATTTAGGAAAAGTCATTATGTTTAAGTGCTATTTACATAAATTCCTCCCTTATATATTGCAGCAAATCCAGTGTTCCACGAACATATGAAACATGTTGATGTTGACTGTCATACGGTTCACGAATCTGTTCACCGGCATGAGGTGTCTACACGATATGTCCCTACACGCTACCAGTTGGCGGACATTTTCACTAAACCCCTATCAAAACCGGTGTTTGATTTTTTATTGTGCAAGTTGGGCATTCAAGATCTTCATGTGCCAACTTGAGGGGGAGTGTTAGCGGGTATTTGTAATTGGGCCATAGATACTGTGTTATTGGGCCTGTATGTTTAGCACATCTTGTACTTGTGTATATATCAGTTTGTGAATAATGAAACACGGAACAGTTACTTGAACCCAGAGTAACTCAAACTATAAGTTATTGAGCCTAAGTCCAACCGATTTGCTAGATCTATGTGTGTCCATGAGACACTATGATGTCAAGGTTATGCGAAATGTGTGTTTCTTAACTTGTTTGCTAGCGAAATTCTATGACTATTTTCTTCATCTTATTTTCTTACTTATTTCCAGGGGTGGACCCAGAACATTTGAACCATGGGGTCGCATTTTAAAAAATTCATATCAAACTAAAATTAAATAAAAATACTTCATAATTTATAATATTAAAGTTCACATATGCCATAACAATCAAAAACTAATAATAGTCTTTCATTAAAAATATTAAATACATATTTGAAAGTCTAGTTTTCATATTATGAAAGTGATTTATTATAATACCTTTGCCTCCTATATTGAAATTTAAATAATTACAAACATTATAAATTTACAACAAAACCCAATCATTTTAACATACTAACGATGTTACAAAATGTAAATGTAATTCATAAATTACAAATTGAAAAGAATAAATTTAAAATTCACAATTCACAAAAATCAAATCCAAATATCCAATTCTCATTCAATCATGTTAAAAAATTATTTCTTGAAGAGTGAAGAACAAAAAATACGCAAAAAAAAGAGCCTTAGTGTGGAAATCTGTAAAACCTTTTTCTGGTGATTTACGTAAACTCAATCGTACATATATACTACCATACTACGCTAGTGGGCCTCGGCCCGTTACAACACGAGCTACAAAATATACACATGCTAATACTCCCCCTCAAGTTGGCGCATGAAGATCTCGAATGCCCAACTTGGAGAGTAAGAAAGAAAATAGAGGACGATTCAACGCCTTTGTAAACAAATCGGCAAGCTGCAAGCGAGTGGGCACATAAGCTGTGGTAATCTCACGGCACTGAACACATTCACGTACAATGTGGCAATCAATATCGATGTGTTTCATACGCTCATGGAATACTGGATTGGCGGCAATGAAAAGAGCAGACTTGTTATCACAGAACAGTCGTGGTGTGGTCGGTGGAGTCATGCCTAGAGCCCCAAGAAGCCCCCGTATCCAGCGCACTTCTGCGCACGCGTTGGCCATCGAGCGATATTCGGCTTCAGCGGAGGAGCGAGAGACGGTGGTCTGTTTCTTTGTCTTCCAAAACCGGCGACCCACCTAAGAGAATAAAATATCCGCTAACAGACCTCCGAGTGAGAGGACAAGACACCCAATTTGAATCACAATATGCAGATAACTGTAAGGAGCTGTCACTGCGAAGTAATATGCCCTGTCCTGGATGTCCCTTCAAGTAACGAAGAACTCGTCGTGCGGCATCCATATGATCAACCCGGGGAGCATGCATAAACTGAGACAAAACATGGACTAAATAAGAGAGATCTGGCCGAGTGATGGTGAGATAAATTAGCCGACCAATAAGACGCTGATACCGTGCCGGGTCATGAAGTTCGGCGCTAGTGGAACGGCTCAAGCCGTGATTAGGGACGATGGGGGTGTCGGCTGGCTTACACCCCACCATACCCGCTTCTTGCAGAATATCTAAGGCATATTTTCGCTGGCACAGAACAATCCCCTCCACAGATCGAGCGCACTCAATGCCCAAAAAATAAGATAAGGGTCCCAAATCCTTGAGGTGGAAACACTGATGTAGATAAGTCTTAAAGGAGGCACATAACCGAGAATTATTACCTGCAACCAGAATATCATCAACATAAACCAGCACAATCAAAATATCAGGACCACATTGACGAATAAACAAGGTGTGATCAGCATGAGCCTGACGAAAACCATAACAACACAGAGCACATGTCAACTTGGCAAACGAATTGCGAGGAGACTGGCGCAAGCCGTAGAAGGACTTGCGCAAACGGCACAATTTCCCGGGATGGGGTTGTGCATAACCCGGTGGTAAACGCATGTAAACTTCCTCAACTAAATCACCGTGAAGAAATGCGTTATTGACATCAAGTTGGTGGACTTGCCACCCTTTAGCCGCTGCCACGGCCAGGAGCACCCGGACGGACCCCATCTTGGCCACGGGAGCAAAAGTATCTGTATAATCAACCCCCCAACGTTTGGTGATTCCCGAGAACAACTAGTCGGGCCTTGTCACGCTCTTTAGTGCCATCAGAGTTGAACTTTGTTTTAAAGACCCATTGACACCCCAAAGCTGTCCGGTCGCGAGGTAGGTCCGTGAGATCCCAAGTATGATTATTCTCCAGAGCCTGAATTTCCTTGTGCATAGCTTCTCGCCAATTCGAGTGTGGAACAGCCTCGGCATAATTCTTGGGAACAAAATGTGGACTGATGGCTCCCAGAAAACCACGGTACCTGTCATGTAAGTTATAATAACAAACAAAGTTGGAAATAGGATAGCGTGTACCTGAAGACGAAGACCGAACAGGGGGCGCACAACGAAGCATTAGATTGCATAGACTTAACGATGTAGTCACTAAGATGAGAGGGCGGACGACGCTACCGTTGAGGTCGAGAAGAGGGGACGGCAGCTGTATCAGTAGGGGTGGAGGTGCCACTGTCATCGGCGCTGTGATCTGTGGTCTGGTGCGGGTGAGAGACTGCCGGAACAATGGCAGAGGGCTGTTCGGGGAGGACCGGCGGACTGGGCTGTGGGAGCTCAGGGAAATCAGTTGGGGCGACGGGCTGTGGTGATTCGGCAGGTGGGGTGGGAAGGGCAAACGAAAATTGGGATTCGTCAAACGAGATATCCCGGGTGTGAAAGAAACGGTGAGTGTCAAGATCATAGACGCGCCAGCCTTTAGTACCCGTGGGATACCCGACAAACATGCATTTGGTGCTACGTGGGAAGAATTTATTTGAAGTGGGTAGATGCACAAAACAGAGACATCCAAATATGCATAAGTGACTGAGATCAGGGGCTTTATTATGAAGAATTTCAAACGGGGATTTCCCACCCAAGAGTTTAGTAGGGGTACGGTTCATGAGATAAACAGCGGTACGAACACATTCACCCCAGAATTCAATAGGTAGACTAGCCTGAAACATCAAGGAATGAGCAACATTTAAAATATGGCGATGTTTACGTTCCACCTGACCGTTTTGTTGAGGGGTACCGACACAAGAAGTTTGAACAAGAACACCCATAGACAAGTAATAGGCCCGGAGATGCCGATTGACAAACTCAGTTCCATTGTTGGAACGAACAACTTTTATGGTTTTATTGAACTGAGTTTGAATCAGACTAAAAAACGGTTTAAGGTAGCTAGTTATTTCAGATTTATCAATAATCAAATAAGCCCAAACAACACGAGAATGATCATCAACAATAGTAAGAAAATAATGTGCACCAGTAGCCAAACAAGGGGTATAAGGGCCCCATAAGTCACAGTGAATTAAATCAAAGATACTAGTAGCTTTATTGGAACTGAGAGGAAAACTACTACGAGTTTGCTTTGATTGAAAACAAATTTCACAAGTCTGTAATAATTTGAGTTTTGAGCTACTGGGAACAGGAAGAATAGAGGACAAAACTTGAGGAGAAGGATGGCCCAAACGCTTGTGGGGAAGGATTGGGTCTCCTTGACTAGCAAACGCAGGACTGGACGGACGAAAAAGAAACACCCCGTTGTGGGCTTTACCCTGTCTAATCTCCATCTTCGTTGCACAGTCCTGTATAACACAATAATGGTTATTAAAAATAACTAAACATGAGTTATCCCGAATAAGACAACCAACTGAAATAAGATTGCACCGGAGTTGTGGCACAAGTAACACGTCGCGTAGGGTAACTTCTGATCTGGGGAAAGATAAACACGCCCACATTGGGTTGTCGTAGTGTGGGAACCATTAGGCAGAGTGATAACACATGGCGCAATGGGAGCAACATGAGACAAATAAGAGACATTACCCGTCATGTGATGGGAGGCGCCACTATCGATGAGCCACTCACGGGAGGAAGACTCACCAGTAGAACCACCTGCAGCCTTCTCGGTAGAAGACGTGTCGAGCATGGACAATAGCCGAGAAAACTGATCGGACGTAAGACCCAATGGACTGCTATTCATGCTCGGACCACCTCCTACGGCGTGTGCTCCCCCTGTCGGAGTACCTGCCCCTCTGACAGCAGGTGTGCCGCCGGATGACCCACGGCTGACTCCACGGCCGGAACTACCTCCGCGGCCAGAAACTCCCCCTCTGCCACGACCTTTGCCCGGGGGGTAGCCATGCAACTGGTAACATCGGTCCTTGGAATGACCATCTTTGCCGCAATGTGTGCAAGAGTAAAGAGGTGGATCTCCACGACCCGTAGAGGTAATAGGGCGTTGCATGGCAAAGGCGACTGCATCGGTTCGATCGTCCCTCCCGTGGACGATATTTTTGTGACGCTCTTCCTGGACAATCAAAGCGTATGCTCGGTGAATATCAGGGACGGGTTCGGTAGCAATGAGTTGGGAACGAATATGGCCAAACTGCTCGTCGTCGAGACCGAGCAAAAAATGGTGAGTTTTCTCTTGTTCTTCGCGTGCTCGGATGAGGGCAGCGGGCTCACAGCGGCAGCCGCACGTAGGGTCGACGGACCCATAGAGTTTGTTCCAAATTGTCACAAACTGATTGTAGTACACCACCACGGTTTGGCCCTTTTGCCGGAGAGATTGAAGTTCGGATTTTAATTGATGAATACGAGGACCGTTGGACCCTCCATAGCGGGTTTTCAAATCCAACCACAATTCGTGAGCCACTTTGTGAGAAATAATCGACGGTTGGATGTGTTCATCAACGTTATTACATATCCAAGAACAAATGATAGAGTTATTAGCCTTCCATGCCGCAAGATCTTGTTCATCGGTTGGCTTGGGAAACCCCGTGGGGGTTAGAAATCCCACGCGGCTTCGCCCTTCCAGGGCATTAACAATCGTCTTCTCCCATACATCATAATTGTCCCCTTTGAGCACATGCTTTGTCAAGGAATTACCAGCACTTTCGGATGGATGAATATAATATAGAGACGTGGGATCATGAATCAACCTGACTTTCTTGGAAGTTTCGGTGGTCATGTTGTGCAACGAAGAGAGAGAGACCGGCTGCTGCAAAGACTGAGCACTGCAAGACTACCTTGCCGAGAAGGGCTCCGACGTGAGGCGAAACGAACACCGACGTGAGGTGGTGTGTAAAGGCCGACGTGAGGCGGAGAAGTAAAACGGCCAATGTGAGGCGGCGTAGAAACGGACGGCCGACGTGAGGCGGCGTAGGAACAGTGGCTGCACCGTGGGAACGGAGGCGTGGCTAGGGTTTACGTTTCTAGGGTTTTTGGTTATGCCTGGGAATTGGCTCCGATACCATGTGGAAATCTGTAAAACCTTTTTCTGGTGATTTACGTAAACTCATATACTACCATGCTACGCTAGTGGGCCTCGGCCCGTTACAACACAAGCTAGAAAATATACACATGCTAATACTTAGTATGGAGATTCTAAAAAAACAAAAGAAGAATGCTTGCAAAATATAGATATTATTCACAAATTACAAATTGAAAAAAATATATTTCAAAGTTCACAAATCAAAAATTGAACTTACTTGAACCCAAAGTAACTCAAACTATAAGTTATTGAGCCTAAGTCTAACCGATTTGCTAGATCTATGTGTGTCCATGAGATACTATGATGTCTAGGTTATGCTAAATGTGTGTTTCTTAACTTGTTTGCTGTCAAAATTCTATGACTATTTTCTTCATCTTATTTTCTTACTTATTTCCAAAGGTGGACCCAGAACATTTGAACCATGGGGTCGCATTTTAAAAAATTCAAATCAAGCTAAAATTAAATAAAAATAATTCATAATATATAATAGGGGTGGGCACGGATCGGGACGGTCCGGATTTTAGGTTGTCCCACGTCTTGTCTCGTTATATATAAACGGTCCGGAACAGTTCAGATTACAATCTTATCCCGGTTTGTCCCACAAAATTTGGGATCGGAATAAACCGGGACGGATTTGGGTTGTCCTACTTTGTCCTAATCTCACATTTCATTCAAAAAAAAGAAACGTCTAGCCATTCAACAAAAAATAATGAGTGAAACTGGACCAAATAAATTTAATAAACTTTGGGCTGAAATCTCAAGCCTATGAAGTTAACTTAATTAATTAATTAATTAATGAGTGTATTTTGATTTTTGACTAAAATTAGTATTATATATTAGTAGAGTAGATGAAACGGGACAAACGGGACGGATCGGTATAAATTTAAGCTGTCCCTCTCATGTCCCATTTAATACTGGGACGGAACGGGTTCGGGATAACAAAAAATGTGTCCCAATTAATCGGTACAATTACAAAATGGATCCGGGATTTTTTGGAACGGTCCAACGGGAATGGATTTCACGCCCACCCCTAATATATAATATAAAGTTCATATATGCCATAACAATAAAAAATTAATAACAGTCTTTCATTAAAAATATTAAATATATATTTCAAAGTCTAGTTTTCATATTTTGAAAGTAATTTATTATAATACCTTTGCCTCCTATATTGAAATTTAAATAATTACAAACATTATAAATTTACAACAAAATCCAATCATTTTAACATATTAACAATGTTACAAAATGTAAATGTAAATCATAAATTACAAATTGAAAAGAATAAATTTAAAATTCACAATTCACAAAAATCAAATCCAAATATCCAATTCTCATTCAATCATGTTAAAAAAATTATTTCTTGAAGAGTGAAGAACAAAAAATATGCAAAAAATGAGCATTAGTATGGAGATTCTGAAAAAACAAAAGAAGAATGCTTGGAAAATATAGATCTTTTTCACAAATTACAAATTGAAAAAAAAATACTTCAAAGCTCACAAATCAAAACTAAAAAATTCATATATCCAATTCACATTCAATAATATTTTAAAAAACTGCGTTTTATAGAGGAAGAAAAGACAAAAAAAGCCTTGCTTGGAGAGCAAAAAAAGACCCTAAGACCAGGAAGTTTCAAACACAAGATGTTAAGGATGCAAGAGGACGTGTTTCCCATTTAGGCTACTTCTTGAACTACTTCATATTTCATAATGCGTTTTTTACATATATATTTATATTAAGTACGTAAATCTATAGGTATATATATAAAATTACAAAATCTCTGTGCGATCGCGTGACCCCGTATGACTCAATGTGGGTCCGTCCCTGCTTATTTCATATTACTTTTCTATTAGAATCAGATCATTTGAATCAAATTAGACTAGAAAAATGTTAAAAATAAAATAAAGTTATAATAATAATAGTGATAACAATAATAGTATTAATAATAACAATAACAATAATTACAATAACAACAATGATAATATTCTCTTTGTCCCATTAAAAATATTTCGCTTTGACAGCATGGAGATTTAGAATGTTGAAATCATATAAGAAAGATATTGAGGTCCTGTTCTTTTGGGTTGGAATTTCATAGCTAGATGTTGAAAGAAACTGGAAAGAGTTGGATGAAATTGGAAGGAGTTGGAAAAAATTGGAAGTAATTTGAAAATGTTGGAAGAATTGAAGTGTTAAAAAATCATCACATTAAATGATCATCCTAATAAATATGTAAGAAAATGATATATTTGGGAAAAAATTCATAGTTGTCCCTGTTTGGGATGATAATGTGGTATGTTACAAATTTGGATATATAATTTTATTTTATATTAATCATATATAAATATCTTTTTAAGTCGTCGTTGGAAGAAACTGAAAGGATTTGGATAGAACTGGAAGAAGTAAGAAGAAACTAGGAGTTGGAAGAAGTTAAAAGTTAATTTTTCTAACCCAAAAGTATAGAGCCTGAATAGTAAAAAGTGAATGCTTAAATTTTGTTTATTGAGAAAATTCTTTGGATACAGTATTGAAAAAATAAGGGTATACCAAAAATTTGAACTAAATTAGTATCGTGCCAAATCGTAATGATACAAACCATTTACCATGTTTTTTAACGGGAGTTGTATTTATCCCGAACCAAACTCAAACTGATTTCAAATAAGATCTGATGGTCCCCGAAGTGGTGAGATACAAAGTCTAGAGGGGGAGGGTGAATAGACTTTGTTACAAATTAAAAACTTTTTAGTTCTTTTTGAAAATGTGAGTTGATAAGAAATAGTAGTTAATTTTAAGTTCTTGAGAACTTAAATTAAGTGTGCGGAAGTTGGTGGATTGTTGGAGCAGTAATCAAATATGGATCGGTTAGTTTCACAGTTAAATATAATCACATAAAAATTAGATAAAGAGAGAGACACGCAAACTTTAACGAGGTTCGAAGGTGGGGTAATCCTTCTACGTCCTCAGAATCCACTAGGTAATTGGTTGTTGAAAGTGAACTAATAATTACAATAGTGAAAGCACGGTGTATCTTCGCAAGGCAAATGTTGTTACTTCACTTGTGCTGGCTTTGTTGTTCCTTCGAAGGTCAAGCTTCTTCAACAACTGCAAGGTCCAAACAATAGGACTTGCAAGATCAGTTTTAAATGAAAACTGACGTGCCCCGTTTTAATCAAGATGTTTGATTAAATAATCCTTCAACTCGGTGTTGTACTTGAGGCAAGGAAACCTTCAAGTATTTTCACTTATAGCTCTTTGGAAGGAGAAGTTTGCTTCTGGATAAGGAGATTTTGAATTCTCTCTTTTTCAAGCGTTGAGGATTTTTCACTCTTGGTTAAATGTGATTGGTTGTATTGGGGGGTGTCTTCTTCATTCTTCCGTAGGAGCTATATATAGGTGGCTGGATGGTTTAATCTATCCGTTGAAGGGAATAGATTAACCTTATGTTTGCTGTCTTCAATTTGAAATGAAGGAGCGTGAGGATTGTCCTTGGAAATTTTCTCTTGGACATAAGCTTTTGTTGAAGAGAGATTCCTTTGTCATGAAATTTGTCTTCTAGCTTTTGTTCGAGAATTCTGGACTGTAGCTCTTTAATTGGGGAGTCTACACTTTGTCTTCTTGTCATTTGTTCTCGAATTAATTGAATTATCCTCAATCTAGCCGTTTGAAATTCAAGGAGATAATTTTTCCTTGGTAACAGATAGAATTCCTTCAATCATGACTTAGATTATTTTCTAAGTCCTTTTTCTCACTTGTCAATTGAGAGTTCCTGTTCTTTGAGAAATCTGACTCTTAACTTTGACAGTTCTGGATAAGTGATGCTGAGACTTCCGGGTGAGATAGATATCCAACAGAGCGATCCGCGCTAGTCTTCCGATACGTAGATATCCGGAATGCTAGCCTTTACACGGATGGCTGCGAGACTTCCGGGTAGAACTTGAGTCTTCCGGACTTTAGAATTCCGAAGCAATTGACTTCTTTGAGAATTCCGTTCTTGTCTTTGATATCTCCAAGCGAGATTTCCTATTTTCATAGAATTTTGTTTGACAAGTCTTCAACCATATTTGCTCAAATTTCAGGACGAAATATCACAGATTTTATTTGAAGCTCAAGAACTTGGTTTTAACAAGATTTCTAAGAAAAAGAAAATTACATTGAATTATGGGGAGGCCGAAAGACCCTATTACAATCTACATACATCATCAAAATTTATAATATTTTTCCCAACAAGATCAAAATGTGATATAAAAGTTGAAAATTGATTATCACGAATAGAATCTTTTTGAAAACTGTGGTGTATTCTAAGTATTTATTTACATACTCATCTTATGATATACGGGGTACTTTCTATTGTATTTTCCTTTTAATATTCTTTTAGTTTATTACTCCGTATTAGTCCATGTTAATCTTTTATTATTTTTATACATCATCATTACTTTGGACTTATTAGGTGATGTGGTATTGGATGAGAAGGGGGAGCGGGAAGAGAACGGGCACCTGCGAGAGGAAGGGGACCCCCCCGTAAGACATTTATTAGATAAATGACTTGATAGCTTAACGAATTGCGTAACGCGCTATCAGATCAAAGTTATTTTGGGTATACCAAAAAACTTCAATTGAATAAGATGTTAAACTAAAACAAGCACTTCGAAATCGTATGTCTCAATCATACTTGCAAGTCTCTATTTATTTAGTCGAAAATCTTTGATCAGGCATGAACGTTCGCGTAATGATGCAAACTTTCGCGCGAAAGAGATCGAACTAAAACTCTTATTAACATTAGCTTAAAAGGCAAACGTTCGCGTGAATAGCTTCTTGCGGTTTAGGGTGAGTTTTGACGTGCATTCGTACATCTAAATCTTATAACATTTTTGGACTCTGTTCACAAAAATCTGAAGGATTTTCATAAAACAATATTATCCAAATTAAAAAGTCAGCTGCTCTACCCCTGGACCCTGCTAGGAGTTGCACCCATTCGACC